AATGTTTTCATACGGGCGCTCGACGATCTCTATAAAGAAAAAAACGAAAGGTCTCTGAACAGACAAGAATGCACCGTGTACTAGTCTTGACCTCTTCTAACCTTTGCACCATTTGTTTTTTATTATTTTGCTTAATTTAATTTTGAGTTTCACCTCTGAATTTTTCTGCTCTCTTGGATCACTGAGCTAACAAAAAACACTCGGTTAACTACTGAGCACTTGCTGCAAGAACTAGTAACTACAATGATTTTTTTTCTGCTTTTAGGAGAGGGGGGATATCTTACGAAAGTGGTGGAGACACTCGTCGTCTGTTTATTTAGTGCAAATATAATAAATAAATAAATAATAAATATATGTTATTTACTGGCTGGGAGGTCCGTATTGGGAGAAACTGTGCCCGAGGTCTTGAGTACTGCCCTCGGCCAACGGCGGGCCTCGGGCGGTACTCAGACAGAGGGCACAGTTTCTCCCAATACGGACCGATCTAGGCCGGTGAATAACATTTTTATTTTTTTCCTTCTGAAATTTAAAAGTTTCAGGAAAATTGTACTTCAGCCTCCAACCTCGGTGTGTTAAAGTAGGCCGCGTTCGCGTTGATGAAGCGCACGATCGATTGCAAACCAAAACAAAACATCAGTTACAACATGATTTTGTATCTTGTAATTTATATTTATTTATCACAATTAAGGTCTCTTTAATTTTAAAATAAAGAAAGGCTTTTGTCTCTTAATAGACAATTCATAATCTGAGCGTCAAACAAGGATAAAAGAATCGACGAACTTGACATTAAATGCCACAGGAAAAAAATAGAGCAAAGACTTTCTTCGCCTGAATAATTTACTTTAAGATTAGTTCAATCGAGCGGGATGAAAACTGTACAAAGGCTTCATGAAAAGAGCTAATTAAACATACCAACCTTAAGGTTTTGAATTTAATTCGAATAAAAAAAGGCTATGCGGGTAACAAGTATATAAACAAAGGAAAGAAAACGGCGATAACCAACTGCTGGAAAAGTGATTCGTGTTTTTTATTCAAGGTTGAAAGCTAAATGCAATCATTGACCACAACCTTTTCTGAAAAGTAGAAAACTGGCGAGGGAAAATTCAATTCAAATTCAAAAACGGCAGAATCGAGATTCAGACTGCAAAAATGGAAAACAAAACTACGTTGAAAAGTCAAAAAAAGCGTGGGTTAAAGCTAGTGAAGCGACATCGCGAGCGGCCTGTTTTCCTAGCTGACTTGCTTGATTTTCGCTTCAGATTTTTCGTCTGAATTATAAAATTCACTTGTCCCTTGCTAATGCAAATAATAATTCACTTTCCCCAGTAGCTAACGCTGATAATAGCGCAAGTTTTGGAAGAAAAATGGTTTAAGTTTCACGGGTTTTGTCCATTCACAAACAACAAACAAACTTGTAAATGAAGCTGCCAACGATTCCCGCCCAGCGGGCAAGATCGTAAAAAACCGCCTGCTCTCGAAACCAATCAGACTGGAGGATTTGGAGGATTCCGCCCGCTCGCAAACTTAGAAAAAAATAAATAGATTTTTACAGCGCTTAAACTATTAAATATTCTAAAGCACTACCCAATTTACAATAATAAAATGCAACATTGAAAAAGAAATAAATCAAAATCATTTAGTTCTAAAAGCTTTCTAGAACAAGTAGGTTTTAAGATGTCTTTGAAAACAGTCAATATTTGAGATAAGTCTTAGTTCAAAAGGTTGGGGCATTCCATAACGATAGACCTGAATGGGCGAAAGCTCGATCTCCAAAGGATTTACACTTCGTTTTCGGGACTTGAAACAGTCTCTGGTTATCTTATCGTAAAGTATAACCTCCCGCAACTTTAGGTTTCAGAAGATCTTTAATGTACACAGGAGCCTTGCCTTCTAGCGCCTTCAAAACGAGTAAAAGAATCTTGAACTGAATTCAACAATAGACAGGTAACCAGTTTAATTATTAAAGGAGTGACATGGTTAAACTTCGGGATAACACAAATCACCCGAGGAGCAGCATTAAGGATCCTCTGTAAACGGTCGCACTGATTTTTAGGCATTCCCTATAGAAGACAATTGCAATAGTCAAGATGCGAAGTGACAAAGGCGTGAACCAGAGACTTAGTTGATTCTTCAGCAAGAAACTTTCTTGTATGCCTGATGGTATGTAGGCCACGGAAAGCTTTACTACAAACTTTGACAACATGAGTATTCATAGAGATATGATTTTCAAACCATGCACCCCGAGATTACGGACACACAGGTACCGCCAGGAATTGACTCAATGGAAACGCTGTTGGTAAGAAGCTATGATAAAATATTCAGTCTTCTTGTCATTAATTGATAGCCGCTAAGAGATCATCCAAATGCGAACCTCTGCAATACATTCCTCAATCACTTTGATATCTTCCCTAGTAGTCAGAGGGGTCAGGGTTTAAAAGAAAAATATGATTGGGAGTCATTCGCATACGCATAGGGTGCTTTAGGGAGATGCTTTGCCATTACTTTAAACAGACCAGACCCATACAAGAGAAAAAGAACAGGGCTCCAACAACTGCCTTGGGGAACTCCACGAAGAAATCTTGACGAAGTGTATCGTGAATTAAAAGAGCTACGAGAACATTAGATTTAAGGGCTGACCAGCAACTCAGCAAAGCCGATGTGGTAGGGGCTTGGTGATGTAGTTTGAGGCAGCACAACTGAGCACAAGCATTCTTTTCTTTTTCGATAAAAATGTTATTTTCATTTCAATTGCGTTTACGAAATATAATTTTTTCAAAGCTACCCAACCCCGCTCTAAAAAGGTCTGAATGGAAGTTAAGTAGGAATTTGAAGATTTCCTTTTCATGGCTTATAGTTATAAGTTTTTTGTAGTATACAAACGGAAGCTTTGTTTTTAATCTACATTTTCCCAGAGACAAACAAAACTGTCCTTAATAACGAGGAGTCCGTACTAAGCTGGTGTCCACAAAGCGGGGTTCGACTGTACTTAAAAATAGATTTTCCTACCCTGCCATACAATTCAGTTCTTGAATTCCCTAGTTCCCCTTTGAAATACCTGAAGCCTGTCAAGTACACCCCTAATATTCCATTACAGGGAGTGCCCCCCTCTCCCCCCTGGGCGTGAAATCTAGACCAGAATAATTAAATCAGGGTCCCGTGGAGTGTCATCCGTCAGGAGCCCATGAGTAGGCTCCTGCATCCATATAGGTAAAGAAACCATTGATATTGTCCATGAATATACATATTTAGGAACCCGTATCTCCTCGACCGGTAATTTTAATATCTCACTCGAACACTTGAAAGAGAAGGCTCTTCATGCTCTTTTTAGTTTAAGAAAACACAAAAACTTTAGCAAATTAAAACCTTCTCTTGCTTGCAAAATATTTGAAACGATGATTTCCCCAATATTATCATATAATAGCGAAATTTGGGGTGTATGTGTAAAACATGATTTTAAAGCTTGGGACAATACCCCAATTGAAAAAACCCACTTGAAATTTTGCAAGCGTTACCTAGAAATAAGCAATAAAGCTTCAAATGTTGCAAGTAGAAGTGAATTAGGACGATTGCCATTAATTATTAATATTTATGAAAACATCCTTTATTACATATTGTATCTTCTGTGCAAAAAAGAGGATACTATTGTTAAACAAGCCTTTCGTACTTCGCTAGAACTTCACTGTGATGGTAAAAATAGCTTTTACCATAATCTTATGAAAATATCTGAATATTATGACCTAGCTAAGATCAAACACTATATAGATATAATAAAACAAAAATATATTACATATTGGCAACATACAATCCATCATTCTAAGAAACTACAATTTTACAGCTTATTTGAACATGATTATAAAATTTCAAGTTATCTAGACTTAATTAGCAATTCTGCTAATAAGAAAGATTTAGTGAAAATTCCTATAAGTAACCACAAACTCATGATTGAAACTGGAAGATATAATCAAACTTCCCGCAACGATAGATTCTGCCCTATTTGTAACTCTGGTATAATTGAAGACGAATTTCATTTTCTCTTCCATTGTCCAAAATACTCAATCCCAAGTAAAGGGAGAAATTCAACAATCAAATCCAACAAAATTTTGTCGACTTTAATCAGCTATCTTACACAGAATTAATAATTAAATTGATAAATTCACAGAATTTTTCCGTAAATTCACATTTGTTGAAATTTGTCTCATTATGTAATGATTTACGTAATAATTTGTTATCAAATCATGCTGATGACACTTGATTGACTATAGTATCATTGCATTGCATTATCATTGTTATGATTTGTTTGTTTGTTTGTTTTTTATGTTAAAGCTTTTGCAATACTGTAACTACATAATTCTAGTCATGCAAATAAAGCTTATGTTGTTGTTGTTGTTGCATCCTTATGTAGGGGTTTTTTTGGAAGTGCACCCCCGGCCCCCTCCTTCCACATTTACCTTTTACGCAATGTTTGTTTTTTAAAAGGATCAAAGACGTCAAAAGTGGATAGTTTATTTCCTTTTAAGATATTTTACTTCATTTTTCTCCTCTCCGGAGTTAAATTTCGTACAGATTAAATGCGGTTTCCCACCCACCAGGCCAGCAAGTCTCCGATAACAACGACAACATAACTCTGCTCTCACAGGGGCCAAGCTCCCGGGGCCAGGCTATCCAGTTTCAAAAGAGTTTCGTGATATGTCTGTACAAATCTAGCTAATGGTATTTCATGACAAAAGTAATTTATTGCTGACTTTTTACACGAACGCCATTGTTAGTGTGTTTCGCCAGCAGAAATTTTCCTGGATCAGGCAACCAGACTGAACCGTGACAGCTTTTTTAAGTTTTCCTGCTGTGTTTTGAGATCGTAAGTGCTGCCATTTATTGTGTTGCATGATATTGCTTCTTCAGTTACGTATAAATAATTTGACATGCAATCTAATTCTAATCCTAATCTCTTCACAGTCAGTCACACATCGATCTTGTCGTAAAGCGAGCATCAAACGTTGACGATGGTAGCCGCTTCACAGTTTGTTTTTGCCTGCCTCCTGATCCTAAGCATATCATCCATTGGTGAGTAAGACTTAATAGCAAGATAAAAATGTTTCTCTGACCGTGCATTTGAGCCACTTTGTAATGAAAGAAAGCTTTGCAGGAAAAAAGGACAACAAAAGGGCGTCGTTCTCCATTGATCCCACTGCTGTAAGCTATTGATGATCCAGAATGGAATCGGCTGCACTGCAACCTTAACAAGTCAAACACAAGGGAATTAATGTAATTTTACAGGGTCTGGATGGGGTGTCGCTTGATCCGTGAATTGACCGGTAAACAGAGCATGGATCAGGAAAAATCATGAAATACAGTAGTGATTCGTGAATTATATTATACTCACTGTGACGCGTGATCTCGTACAGCCCCCGAAATGATCCTCTACCCCGAAATGATCCCTATTTCTCTTCACGTCGACCCCGAAATGATCCCCAATTAATTTTAGGAATGGAACGATATCCCAGAACTATGGATCGATTAAAATGTACAACATTAACTTAAGTTTCACTAATAATCTTCACTTGCTCACATTCTTTAATGACATTAATTTGGGATTTCACTTTGAACTGGATTAAACGAAAATATTATTTAATACACAAAGTCTAGTATATTTTTAGTAACACCATGAACTGCAACTGATAACATCAAGAAACATAATATTCTTTATTATCATTACTTACGGTAGGTGTTTATAGCCCGGGTAGCCTGTGAACAGGCCTTTAGTCGCTATTTTTTCCCCAAACAGAGAGCCTGTTCACAGGCTATAGCCCGGGTTATGTTATGTTATGTTAACTTCTAAAAATGATGTCAAAACTGCATGCCTTGGATATTGAATTTTAAAAATGGTGTTTTCACACTTTTTAAAAATATTAAAATGGTGATGAATATGCAAAAGTAGACATACAGGCGATTAGATGACAAAAGCGCTAAAAAAAATCGCATAAACTGTAGTGAAATGTTAAATGCGATTCAAGAACGTAAACGCTGCAACAGACTTGTAATAATTCCGTGACGGAATACCATTCCATTCCGATACTTAATTGGGGATCATTTCAGGGTCGACGTCAAGAGAAATGGGATCATTTCGGGGTCCGTATCATTTCGGGAGCTGTACAGATCACCATACTTTTTTCCTTCCCATCACAGGGTCATTTAAGAAAAACTCTTGCTAGTAGTATACCAGCAACCACTAAGAATCATTGATGGACTTGATCAGTTCGTTACCTAATCATATGATTCGAGAAATGACTCCAAAATGTAACGTGATTTGTGAATGTACGGAAATTTAACCCGTGATTCCAGATCCAGACACCCCCTTCCAGACCCTAATATCACAGGCGGCCCAGACGTAGCGTGTGTTAATAACATTGACAAAATAGGATGAGTCGTCGAAACCGCCATGAACTAAAGTAGTCCAAAAGTCAAAATATAGAAAAGCAAAGGTAAGATACCTTTAACTGAACGTCTCCTTGTATTTCCTGTCCATTTTAAGTGGCATTTTGTCGAGTTTTGCAATCGTAGGTACTGTCCACTAAAGGAGAATTAAAGGCTGGCTACAAAAAAAAAAAACGTACTATCTCCACGCGCCTCCACGCGAAGCGCTATAAATTTGAGAATAATCATCGAATCAGCTCCAAATTGCTATCGGCTAATCTGCAGGTAACGTGTGCTCCGGCTTCGCGCTCGCTGTCTCCACAAAACCCGCAGCAACTGCACGATAATCGCTCGCTCATCAACAAACACTTGGCCTTTACGCTCCGCCATGACCGCAAACGAGCAGGATCACTACGTGATGTGAATATTCAAGCTTTAGATTGATTGACAAGATAGATTTCTAATATACAGATTTAGCTGGGGCTAAAAGCGAAGCTCCCGTTAATAAATTTATAATTTAAATCAAACAATAAACTCCGCTATAATTAGGGCACATTTTCATGACAAAAAACTTCGAACTGATTGATTGGATCGGGGGGAGAGTTGATGTGTAACTAACTCGTGTATCTTCGGAATAAAACATGGACAGACAAGACGCTCTCGGAATCAGAAAGAAGGCTGCTGAAAAGCGCTATCAAAAAACGCACCAAGGAACATCACAGGTTAGTGCTCGAAAGGGACAGACTTACAATGCGAACTTCTGAAACACTAAGCAGTATTGACCGTTATATTCGTCACAAGTCTATTGATCACAACGTGAAAAACAGGGGTGAAAGAATTCATCAAAACCCACGAAAAGAAACTTAAAAACCTCACGAAAAACTCGATACTAAAAAGATCAATTCAACTCAGTGATTTGTTGTTGATACGTTCTTCTCCCGCGCGGCCGGAGAGTTCAAGATATCACCGTACCGAAAAGCTTCTTGTGACATCTACTTTAATAGATCTTCTTGAGCATAACAGGAATTGTGCATTAAGTAACGGTCCAGATAAGAGGGAAAGAACCAAACGCAATGAACACGAAAGGTGCTAACTTAACTATTGTCTCTACTGTGCTTCTGATTGGTTTAAACAGCAAATTTTACGAAATCTTCGCAAAGTAGCATGTATATTAATCCTTTGTTTTCTAACATGTGTCACGGCTATCCGAAGACGAAGTAGCTGAATTTCTAACCAACTGAACGGAAGAAATACCAGACTACGCAAAAAATATCGCTCGACTGATTTTATCTACATTTTGAAGTATCTGTTTATATCCTGAAACCCTGCCGAGAAATAGGCAAAAGTTTTGAAGAAAGTCTACGGGAAGGTAAGCTTCTTAAGAACTTAGAAATATTTTTGAATGAACAGTGAAATAATTATTGAATTCGGGTTTCGTATGATGTGAAGAATTATGCGGATCTCAGAGGATGTTATCCACTTCGGCCTCGGTGGATAACATCCTCCGAGATCTGCATAGTTTTTCACATCCTATTAAGCCCCTTAAAATACTTGCTTAATAGACATAAATCCTTTTTTATTGGAAAAAGGCAAATTTTGAGAAACTTGGTTGCCATGGTGACGTCGATGATGTATACGTCACGGCGATTTTAAAATTCCCAGATAATTTTTACGAAAGGTCGCTAAGTTTTTCGGTCATAGCTAGGACGGTTTTGAATTTATTTAACTTTTTACCTTGGATCCTCTGTCCGAGTAGGGTTAAGCCTAGTTTTCATAGGTCGGAAAAATCCCAGACGATCGGGGATTTTATTGTTTCCCGACTGTCTCAGACTAATGAAAACTCGGAATCGTAGATACCCCCGATCGTCTGGGATGGACGGGGACAAATCTGGAGAATCGGGAGCGTTCCTATTTTCCCGACGCGTCCCAGATTTCTGGGATGGTCGGCGATCATTCGCGACAAATGGAAACACAAATATGTACCGGTCGGGGACGTCGGCGATGGATTTTGCTCATTACCAATCCCCTAAATTGCTGGGCCTTAGTTCCCCTATCACAAATAAACATGCCGCCACTCGAAAACAAGAGTGAGAATCTGGGACAGACTTCTGGCGATTATCCGATTTATTATATACATACTGAGAAATACTCACCAAAAAGTTGTGTTGTAAATTTTGATACTATACGCAAATGAGTTCTAGTCAATCAGAGGAGTGAACTATGGTTTTCACACGTGAAAAAAGTGATACGTGCAATCAGAATCGCGAACGATGTTTTTTCACATGTGAGAAAAATGATACGTCCAATCAGAAGCCACAGATGTGTGTGAGTTTCGCACCAAAATTCCCGCCTTTTCTTGCAGCTTGCTGAGCGCAGCTTCGCACACATTCGAGGAGAAAAGTTTTTCTCTAAGAGTTTTTTCTCGTTAAAAAAGTGAAAAACATTTCCGAAATGGAGTGGAATAGTTTCGTTTGTTTCACTGTCGATAAAGAAATCTGTGGAGAGCCGGCGAAACAACAACGGAGGGGAAAAACAGAACAAGACGTAAGCTTATGTTGTGCTTTTTGTCGGAGCTACTTTGTCTTTCATTTATAAGCTTAAGCTTATATTGAAACCGGCCTTTTCAATTGTACATTCAGAACAAACAGTTAAGATTACCTGTAGTTCTTGGATTACGGTTTTACCTCATATCCTTACCGTCATTATGTTTTTAAGAAACGTTTCTACTAAAAAGCTGATACTTCGTTTTGATTGTTATTTCGTGTTGTGTAGCGGCAAATTTAAGCATTTTGGAAAGATTTAAAATAAAAAGGCCACCAAAATGATGAATGTCTCAGTATGTATACAATAAACACAATACCACATGTAAAGTGCTTCGTACGGTATTTACTCGTTCGCTGCGTTCACTCTTTCGATTTCTGATAAAAAAAACAACTCGTGTGTAAATACCGTACGCCAGCACTTTCCATGAAGTATTCTCTATATATCAGCAAAACCTCTGATGGTCGGCAAAAAGTAAAATCGCCGATCGTCTGGGATTTTCCCGACATATGACTGGCTTTGATACTAAAACGAAAGAATATCCTGACCGACAACAGAGTAAAACGTCACCATATTGGTATTCAGTTCAATTTTTTAATTCCAGTGTCTGGTATTGAGTGTCCAGTGTGTACCAATGTCCCCGGAATAGGAGCAGGCAAATGCGACAGTGGGAAAGTCCCCAAAGTTACCTGCCCAGATGGATGGAATCGGTGTATGAGCTTGAAAGGGAAGATGACGGTTCTTGGCATTACTCAGAGCATCGAACTAAAGAACTGTTCCAACAACATTTGGTGTGACTCAGCCAGCGACTACAACGGTAAGAACAGCAAAGAATTTACGCCCAATCAATCAATCAATAAAACTTTATTTTGTCGCGGTAATTCCATCAGGCAATAAAAGAAACAAATGACACTTGTATAATAATTATTGATAAATACTATAAGTACTATAAAATTTAAATACTAAGCTCTATAAATTTAACGAAAACTACTTACTTACAAAAATGATTAAAGACCCTGCTTTACATGGATGCCGGGAGATAGTTAGAGAAATTGTAGCAGTCTAGTTTTGCTTTAAATGAGCTGAGGGTTCCTGCCTGGCGAAGATCAAGAGGAAAACTGTTCCATAATCGAGCACCGCTGTACGCATGTAACTAAAACCTAGTTTAAAGTAGTTAGTACATGGATGAGGAACAGCCAGGTCATTCTAAGGATCTCGTAAAGGACAGTTCACAAGCTTATTTCTGGGAATAAACTTGGAACATAAATATACCGGAGCCAGATTATTCAGTGACTTAAAAACCATTACTGCACGATGAATAACTATAAATACTACATCGACTTGACCTCTCTTATCCAAAACTTCGAACCAATCATGATGTATCAAGAGTAGTTGAGTAGAGCAGGAACGACCAGTGAGAAACCCGTGATGAGAATCATGTATGAAACCGATAACTTGATCATAAATAGCATTGTACACAATTCTTTCCTGGCATTTTTCCAGCGATAGTTAAGAGTAAAATGCCACTATAATTTTCTACTGGCTCTCGATCACCATCCTTATGAATAGATGCAATATTAGTTGATTAAAATTAATTGGGTTAGGGGTCCCTATTTGAACGATAAATTGAATAGCATACTCAGAGGAACTTCAGATGTGTCAGCAGTCTCATTTAGTAAACGAGCAGGTATTTTATCACCCGCACAAGACTTGTTAGCATTAAGATTATTGAGCAGTTTTTGAAATTCTTTAATGTTACGTGTCACATGGTTGGTAAAGACATCCATAAATACTTAGATCTTGTCAGTCATTTTGTATTGGGGATGGTACCCCAGTACTCTGTAAAAAGCTGAGTGAATTCATAGTGAATATTGAAGAAATTAGCTTGCTCTTGAAGTTTTGTCGCAGATCGTCTGTTGTAAGCGTTTAGATCATGGCTCCAAAATCCTTTTGGGGTCACCTTCAGTTGACTAGACAGATGCTTTGGACATGTTTTATCCTCAGATTTTATTACGGCTCTTTGACGGATCTTCGTAACTCTTTCCACTTTCGGCTAAGGGCTTCTGACGGACAAGACTTTAGTTTTGTCCATAAAATTTTTTTCTTTTTGATCTTGTTGAGAATATCCTTGGTGATCCATGGAGGGTTAATTATCTTTTTTACAGTAAAGGCAGGGGCGGATCCAGGATTTTTTCAAAATGGGGTTGTAAGTATGAGAGTTCAAAGCAAACGTCCCAGGGCCAAAGGAATGTAGAATTTTGTTAAATTGTCATTCTTGCAATTATTTATATGTTTGTTACTCAATCTTTTCACATAGCAAGAAAAAGTCTTGTTACTTTTGTGATTTTTGCGAAATTTGCTACTTCTTCTATACTTTTCTAATAGCGGTTTTCTTTGAAAACGTTTTTGCTAAAATTGCGAAATCAATTTGCCAGCAAATTTTTGCTAACAAGATCGATCCTGGATATTAGTGAATGGGAGAGGTGGGGTGGGGAGAAGAGTTAGAGTTAGGGTTATGTCTAAATATGACGATCTTTTCATTTGGATTTGAGAGGAATTTGAGGTACTATTCATATCTCGTCTACCTCGACGACTGCATGGCGATAACTGCGAGATCAGATGATCGCTTTTCAGCAGGTGTCTTCAGACATTGTTGACCTAGAGCAGGTCTTGATTCGTTTCATCAAGGAAAACGATCGCTCAGCTTCTGCGCTTGTGATCGGTAGGGTGCTGCAAATGACCAGAAGGCGATGGATGTAGGGAAAGCATCTTCATCGCAATCACCAATTGCTATTAGTGAAAGGTTTTTTGGAAGCTCCCTATCTGTTGACTGCCAGAGTGTTTTCCAAATACTTACCTCATTTCCAAGGGATTTGGGAAGTGAAATGTCCTTCACCCAGTATGCCTTCTTCTTCATCATCCAGCTGTAACTAGACATGTTCAAAAACTTCCCAAGGGGAGGGGGATGCAACCCCTCAACCCTCCCCCTGGATGCGCCTCTGAAAGGTTGGAATGCATATATCAGCAGCAGCTAGTAAGAAGTCCTTAACTCTTTCAGTGCAAATGTCCACGTCCTCTTCTAAAAAAAGCACAGTTCCACGGAAAATACACTTCAATAATTCATTCATTTCATCAGAGCTATTATTTGCCCATACAGTTCTAGTTTAGGGTAGCGTATATGCTGAAAAATATTATATAAAGAAAAATAAAAAAGCCGTTGCGCTGTGTCGAAGGCTGTGTTAATTTCAACATCTTTCTTGCAATTAAATGTACCGCAGCTGCTGAAGGGCTCCGAAATTTTGTTTCCTGCATTGGTACAGTCTCTTTAGAAACCATGCCCAGATTAGTCGCTGCTAAGGGTTACAGTAAAGAAAGGTCAAGCGTACCCCACAGATTCCATTAATGAATCGATTGTTTGAAAAAAATGAATCCGTTAGTCGTTGCTGCAACTAGTATCAAAATCAAATCTGCGCACCTGCGTGGGTCATGAGCAATAAATGTTCTAAGATAACTTCTTTGTCTTTGGTCAGATTAAAAATCTGTGAATCGATAAAATTGCTTCTATCAAAGACATTTGCATCAAATTCAAGGAAACTGAGCTTGTAGAAACTTCATATCAACTACCCTGCGTGTAAATTCACTGCTCATAACGCGTGCAGGAATGCAGGGATGAATCTGAAATCTACAACTACTAACGGATTCAACTTTCGAATAATAAATTCATTAATGGAATCTTGCGGGGGTAGGCTTGACCTGGCTGGACTGCAAATTCTTATTTTCCGATGAGGATCCCCAAACTTCTCATATGGTAGTTAGATCACCTCTTTTATTTTAGGAGAACAGTTTCAGTTTCAGTTTATTTATTTTCCTGAAGAAAAAAATTATATATACAGACATTCAATACAGACACAAAAATGTTAGTTAAAGGTTAAAGAGACCTAAAATATAAGTAAAAGAATTAAAAGTATATTTCGGGCGAGGAAGCTCATTCAAATTAAAACCTTAACTCTTATCCTTCTTTTTCAGGGTGCAAGCTTCTTAATGTGACGGGCTTTGTTACTTCATGTTCGCTTAATTGTATCACACCAGACACCAGTGGAGAGCAAGAACTGGGTAGGTCATTTTTTTTTTTTTTTCTTTTTTAATGTTAACCACGATTTAGTTTGAAAGTTGAAGCCGAAATTTTTTGCACTCGTGTTAATGAGTTTAAAATAAGAGTCTTGACTCAATGAATTATATTGCGACCAAAACGTAATATTTCCCTTATTGAAGTCTTAAACGTTGTTTCTTTAACCTTTTAACAGAATGTCCTAACTAGATAGTGAATATCGGTGTCTTAAAAGGAGCCTTAGTGTATGCGCTACCACATCAGCAGAAAAACATGCAATACAGCCCGCAGACCCATACGCGTGATAATGCACCTAGAGCAAAGACGGAGAACGTAAACGAGCGCAAAGCGCAAGATAAAAAATACCTTCACCCCCTCACGCTTTCGTTCAATAAATCCACCACGACGTGCGCTCATGACCTCTATAGAGATAAATTACAAGGGCTTTCGGTCAACAGGCAAAAACGCACCGAGTTTTAGTCTTGGCCTCTTCTCATCTTTGCACCATTTGCTTTTGATGTTATTTTACGAACTTTCTGCTCTCTTAGATCAAAAAGCCGACAATAAACACTCTGTTTACCACCGACTTGCTGCAAGAACTAATAACAACCCAACAAAGATTTTTTTTTGGCTTTAATTTCCAAGGCGATTAAATAAGGGGAAAGGGAGGGTGAAAATATCTTACGAAAGTGGCGGAGCCACCCTTCGTCTGGTTTCTTAGTGTCAATATACGAAGAACACACGAAGAAATCTTAATAACGAAAAGTATCATGAATTAAAAGATTTAGGGGCTGACCAATGACTTAACAAAACCGATGTGGTGGGGGCCCGGTGATGTAGTTGGAGGATGCACAAGTATTCTTTTCTTTTCATGTGTTCGATAAGAGTGTTATTTTCATTTCAATTGCGTTTGCGAAATATATTTTTTTCTAAACCATCCAACCCCGCTCTAGAAAGGTAAATGGAAAGCTCCTAAAATTAAGCAGTGATTTGAAGATTTCTTTGTCATGGCTTTAGTGTATAAGTTCAAAGTTATTCACTGGTCATTAGCTTTTATTGGAGGTATATAAACGGAAGCTTTGTTGTAAGTCTAAATTTCTTTGGCACACCCGTTCCGCTGATCATGAAATTGGCAGGCTCATGTGTGACGTCAAGAGACTTAAAATCAGGAAATGAAAACCTGAATGCCTGCTTATCCCTTTCTTAGGGTCGCCAGTTTTCTTGCATCTAAATGAAACGCATCTTATTGGCATGTTATACCGTAACAGTTCTTTCAGTTTTTGAATTGTAAAAAAATATATCTAGAACTCCACACTCTTTGACCCTCTTCATCTAAAATCACGTGTTCCTTAATTTACGTCATCAAGAGATTATGGGCTTGTTGTGTCTTGACATCAGAGCTCCTTTGTTTCTGAGACGCTTCCGAGAGAAAACTAAGACGAATGCAGTACCAAAATGGCGGCAAGTTTGAAAATTTCAAAAAAAACTGTAAAAAAAACTCACATTGTGTTAACGGAAGAAAACAAAAAATCGCAGAGGTTCTCATAGCAGTCAGTGTGTACTTTCAATTAAAAATAATAATAATAATAATAATAATAATAATAATGATTAGAATATGGGAAATTGAAAAACCAGTGAATCCTAACTCACCGGTCTTCAAATTTAAACAAACCCCCATTTCAGAATTAAGAGCATCCATGGAAAATATTGGTACAACTCCATTAGAATTAGGCTTACTCTCGCATTCTTGCTATATGAACATTTATACCTATGATACTCCATCGAAGAGAATGTTTTTTACAGAAAAGCCCCCCTTTTGAATGCCTTACATTGAACAATGGTACACCCTTCATATGCCTACTTAAGAGCGACTGTCTGTAAATATCAACCAAAATCGACTTTTTGTGGCACACGTTCAAAATTCGAATTTCGCTCATTTTTAACTCATCGATAACCCTTAATGAGTAATGAAGCATGCTGAGGTTAGTTTTCCCAAATAACGTGCTGGTTTTTTTTTTGGAAAAATTCGTGAAAACTCATTTCATGTCATTTTGCCCGTTCGGAGCTCAAAATCCACTTCCGGTAAAGCGAAATTTTACATAAATTTCATTGACTCGTACGTCAAACCACAACTATTTGTCAGCCTTGAAAAACACGAATAGTTTTTATGATCCGTTCTTCCTTATAAGACGGTAAATTTGTGAAAGCTGTAATAATTTTGTGGCCAAAAAAGGTAAAATAAAAATAGGCCCTATTGACAATTTTTACCGTTCAAAATTATAGAGATAAAAAATGCAAAATTTTACAACGCGCTATAACTTAGAATTTTGCAAATTGACTTTCTACGGCTTAACTAGGCCCCAATGTACCAGAAAATCGAAGCAAATCTCTGGGCAAGCGATTTTAAGTAGCCCGCAAGACCTCGAGTTCAACCCTAATTTTGCGAAAAATCGCGACAATCCAGTGGTTAAAATAGCGCTACACGGCCCATCACGCCAGCAGTGGCTCCTGGCAGTGTTAACAACAGATACACCTTTTAACATTCTATTCAACGTTGATCACATGCCAAATTCCAGCATACAATCTATATTACATCGTTCAATACACTTATCTCATTTAGAATGATCATTTTGTTTGGATACAATATATAGTGCAGAATTGCCCAAAAGTCGGCTTTTTTGAGCGACGTCGGCAAAACGTCGGCGACAGAGCCCAACGAGAACAGACTTTAAACAAGTACATTGGTGTGTTTTATTAATTTAGCATCCGTCAAAAGGTATATATACGTTAAATTCAAGACTGAGACAACCAATATTAACTAAGAACACTTCACTTTCTTTTTTCTTGCGAGTTTTCTCTTTCAAGTAATTATGTATAAGGTCTATAAGTATACATGTACGTTTCGATGTATTACTATCACGCTTATAAAGGTACTTTGTAACGAACGTTTTGGAAAATATTTTAACTCGTTTCGATCGACGATGAAACACCATCATCAGAAGCAAATTGCCAAAAACTTTCCTCTACAGCAAAACGGAAAACAGAAAAATAAAAAGTGGCGTTTTACTAATGCTAAAGCAGGAATAGTTGCAGCGTGAGTATGAGCTTTGAAAATGTCAAATGCTCCTAAATGGACATCTATAGATCCCTTGCAGCAGCATTGGAGAAAACTTTCTGGCCCACTATGAACTAGCCTGTTCCAGGCGTAGTGGACAGTGGACAGTGGACAGCGGCGCCAAATGGAGAACGGAGGAAAGCAAAAGTGGAAGAGAGTAAGAGGGAGAGAGTGGGAGGAGGAAAAGATGTTCTTTCTCCCTCTCTCCCCAACCCCGCCCCTTCGCCATTTTTTGTAGCTCACTTTTCTTTGCGTTTTCCCAACTATCTGAAGGCCTGTTACAGGTTAACTACGTGCATTCCTTCATTTCCAACTTTTTATGGTATATATTCAACTAACCGCCAATGTCTACCCCCTGTTCAAGGCCCTTCGTCTACAAAAATACCATGTTCAAGACCATTGCTTGGAATTGTATAACCTGTTTAAGAATCAAGGCCTTCACAACCTTACCGTTGTGTTTGTCAAAAAACTGAGTTAGACTGAGAGCCTTAGTCTGCTTTACGTAAGTACCGTGTAGACCTCCGGAAGAATTGTTTGCAGCCAGCCCCCCAAAAAACCCAAAGAGCCTTCGCCTGCCGCTGGTCAGTAGGAAGGCTATTCCAAAGAACTGCTCCAGAAAAACTATTTTTCTTAACATTTGTCTGGGGGATGAGGAATAGCGAGTTTGCTGTTGGTGTCTGTTAAAAAGAAATTAGAGATATTGCAACGATCTTCCATTGCTACGATCTACTATGCACATAACAAGACCCCTCAAGGTACGTAAGATATATGACGCATAGTCTGCGATGCACCCGCCACTCTCCGCTCTTTGACGAAATGTCCCTAGCGGCAGATAGCGATGAGAAGAAGCTGTATCGCAGGCTTTTGACACAAAGCTTTTCTACTATTTTCATGGGTAAACCGGTCGCTTCACGGTTTGGGCAAATGGCGAACAGAATTCAGGACTGATGAATTTTGATTCCGTTCGGTAATCGCGTTTACCATTTGCCTAGGTCAGTTTCGTTTAACGAAAATCGGCCACAAAGCGTGAAACTAATATTCAAAAAAGGTTTGAAGACATGATATCCGAATTTCGGCCTGGTATTTCCAACCAGGAAAACAGGAAGCCCCGCAAAGCACCAAAGTGTCCTCTTAGTTTGTTTTAATGGGTCATGTATATAGTCATGCAGTAGCTTCATGATTCATACACGTTGTCATACAAGTATATAGGCTCCTCTTTGCTATCCACGTAGCTTTTTTTCAGTTTTGAGAGCCCGCAAGGATAAAAACGTCGAAAAGAACTATTGCACCAATACTTAGTCGAAAGTATTTAATTGCTTCAAGGAAATTAGTTTTTATAAACCAAATGGCATTGTTTGGCGATGATTTAATTCGTAAATATCCCACAATGCAAAAACTCATTCAGTAAACAGTTTGAGTCGTTAGCTAGATATTTTTCTGTTTATATACTATTTTTTGAGGGAAATCGAGTTAGTCGATTGAAAGCTGAACGTGAAAGTGTGTGACGCTATCCCGGGGACGCTTTATGTTGTATCTGACGGAAATGCTGCAATCAATAAGAATAATAGGTTTACTGAAAGATTTAATTTTGAATTGGCTTTTAATCTGCCTTCAAGTGAATTGTTTTTAAAAAGCGTATCTTTCGGTAACACTGGCGTGACGGACCGTGTCACGCTATTAATTTTTTAACCACTAGAATGTCGCGATTCTTCGCAAAATTAGGGTTGAACTCGAGGTCTTGCAGGCTACTTAAATCGTTTGCTCAGAGATTTGTTTCGGTTTTTCTGATAGATTGGGGCGTAGTAATGCCGTAGAGAGTAAATTTGCGAAATTCTAAGTTATAGCGCATGGTTAAAATTTGTATTATTCTATCCCCATAATTTTGAACGGTAAAAATTGTCAATAGGGCCTATTTTTAACAATACCCTTTTGGCCACAAAAATTTTCCAGCTTTCGCAAATGTATCGTTTTATAAGGTAGAAAGGGTCATAAAAACTATTCGTGTTCTTCAAAGACTGCCAAATCGTTGTAGTTTGACGTACGTATACGAGTCAACGAAATTTGTGTAAAATTTCGCTTTACCGGAAGTGGATTTTGAGCTCCGAACGGGCAAAATGAGTTTTCTGAATTTTAACAAAAGAACACGCAACACGTTAGTTAGGAAAACTAACTACAGTATGTTTCATTACTCGTTAAGGGTTATCGACGAGCCAAAAATGGGTCGATATTTACGGAAAGCCGCTCTTATAGTCACAGTAAATCGCTAAAGTAGGAAGTCTTCATGACATTTTCATGTGAGATTTTTCAATAATTAAAAATGATATAGAAATAAGGCTCGCCTTTTTAAAGCATTTTAATAGAGGACATTTTAAAATTACTTAAAGACAGTTTTTCCTACCCGTCCGTAAATTTCAAGTCGTAAATTCGCTACTGTTTGACGTACCTGAAGCCTGAAAAGGTACCACAGTGTAATCCACTTTGTTTTAAATAAAATGGTCAAAGGTCGTCAGAGTCTTCAAAAGTGGGTATTTTATTTCCTTTTAAGTTGCCTTACTTCATTTTTCCGCTCTCCGGAGTTAAATTACGTGCATCGACTTTCCACTTTAGCTGGAGAGCTAGCGGACACCCTTCTTTCCTCATTGACAAGCGCGGCGAGCGAAAAAGTGAAATAATGCGAAGTAATGGCAAAAAGGAGGAGAGATTGGGCAGAGAGAGGAAAACTGACTTATTATTGCTGCCCCCACGGGGAAGCTACCTATTTTTGTCTTGAAGGCGTCTGAAAACTCGATTTGTCGGGAAGTTTGCTTAGCTGTTTGTCAGCACCCTATGCAGCGAAGTGAAATGGCAGCCAAAATTTTTTCCGAGAATTTGTGACTGCTAAGAAAGTGAAAGTCTGTGATTCTCCCTGAGCACGCTTTAAAAGGAAATGGCGATAAACTTGTTATAGAGTTTCTTAGCACTCTTGAATTTGCGACCTCTTGGTTAGACATTCGTCAGGATTCGTGAGTGTTATGTATGAGGAAGAAGTCGAAAAAAGGGACGCGGACGCGAGTGCGAGGGACAGTTTAAATTTTCTGCAATACAGCCGGTAATATAAGATTCTCATTTGCTTGTCATGTCAGTTGTAAAGTTAAGTATGTTGGGAACGTAGCGACAGTTAAAGTGAGGATTCGAGGGGACGACAATGTTCTTTCATGTGTTTCGCAGCACTGTCGTTTCATGAGCCCAACCAGTTATCAGCTGTCAGGGATCGCTGTGGTTCACGAACACAATCTATGAATTCTTGTCAAGTGGAAATAATTTCTTTCAAAGCGCCCAAGACAATCAACTCAGCAGAATCGTCTTTTTTGGCAGATAACCTTCCTATTGTAGTTCATTACTTTTTCTAACGAGGGGAATGAAGCAGCGAGGTGAACAAACTGAATTACAATTGAGGCCATAATTTGCCTTGGCAACGAGGCTAATGGAACAAGCGAATTACTTACCGAGGTGAGCAAACTGAATTAAGGTTTTCCTGTTCATTAAAAATACTTTTTTGTATTGATCTCATGAAGTAAAATAATGAATACAACAGAAACAGATGTGTACACTAAATCGAAGCTGATTTAAAACCTTTTTTCAATATTTCACTGTACGTAAGTCTTTATTGTGTTTCTGTCAATAACAATCCAACCTGATTTTTCAGTATGCATTTTTATCTACAACCTTTCATTATACATACGGATAAAATAACATTGAGACTGATGTATTGATGCATGTTCATTATTGATTAAAATCTTTTGGCATTCATTCATTCTGATGCATGGATATGGATACATTTGGAAGAAGCCTACAATCTATATTCTTCAATCAGTGAATTTTCCTGTCCAAATAAACAAGCCGTCAGAGATAAATTGCTTGATCCTCATCACGGTTTGCCTGTCTACAAAGAGTCGTCAGCGCGACTTTTTTGTTTAGTAATGAAGGAAAAGTGTTTTTTGGTTTCAATTATGATATGTTTTAACAACTACAACATATAATGTCAATCCTGTGTCTTAAAACGTCGACCCCCCCCTCACACTTTGTACATTTTCAAAACTGACCCCCAAAATTAACCCTTTTCAAAAATTGTACCCCCCCCGGGACGTAATAAACGATCGGTCCCCTAGTTTTATCTCATTTTTGTCTTTGCTCGGGCTTCAGCCCTCGTTCCTAGCGGCTTCGCTGTTCGCCCCTCACGCGTGCTCTCGATCTCCGTGACTCAAAAGAAGAATAAGAGACTGCTCGCAGTCCCCGGGGTCGCAGTCTGCAGGCCAGCAAGACTCCTATAACACCAAAAACACTAGTTCGATCATCTGCTCTCACAAGGCGCCAAGCTTTCTAGTTTCTATTCCTTTACAAATCTAGCAAACAAAGGCACGTAATTTATTGCTGACTTTTTACATGAACGCCATGGTTAGTGTGTTTCGCCCACAGAACGTTTGCCTTGATGGACTTGATCAAGGAACCAGAGCAATCGTGACAGCTTAAACTTGTTGTTGTTGCATGTTGTATAGGGTTTTTTGGAAGTGCTCCCCCCAGCCCCTTCCTTCTATTCTTGCGTTTTCCGCAATGTTTGTTTTTTAAAAGGATCAGAGTCGTCAACATAGGATATTTTATTTCATTTTACTACATTTTTCTGCTCTCCAGAGTTAAATTTCGTACAGATTAAATGCAGTTTCCCACCCACCAGGCCAGCAAGACTCCGGTAACACCAAGGGGCCAAGCTCCCGGGGCCAACCTATCCAGTTTCAAACAAGTTTCGTCGTATGTCTGTAAAAATCTAGCTAACGGTATTTCATGACAAAAGTAATTTATTGCTGACTTTTTACATGAACGCCATTGTTAGAGTCTTTCTCCAGCGGAACTTTTCCTTGAACATGCAACCAGACTGAATCGTGACAGCTTAAAACTTTTCCTGCTGTGTGGTGAGATCAAAAGTGCTGTCATTTATTTTGTTACATGATAGTGCTTCTTGTTACTTATAAATAATTTGGCAATCCTAATCTTCAAGTCTTAACAGCCAGGTTGTCTCACAGTCGGCCAGAACTCGATCCTGCCGTTAAGCGAGCGTCAAAGGTTAACTATGGTAGCAAATTTTGTTTTTGCCTGCCTCCTGATCCTTCGCATATCATCTATTGGTGAGTAAGGGTTAATAGCAGGATAATAATTTCTGTCTGACCGAGGATTTGAGCCATTTTATAAGGAAAGAAAGCTTTACAGGAAAACAACACACAAAAAAAGACGACAGAAGGGCGTCGTTCGCCTTTGACCCCACTGACGCAAACTTTTGATATTCTAGCCGGAATCGAATCAAACTTAACAAGTCCAACAAGAGGGAACTAATGTATTAGTTTAATATTTTAGAGTTACAAAAAAGCGTACCAAAAAACTCGTTGCGAGATCTAGTTTAATAGATGTCTTAAGCATAACAGGAATCATAAGTCCCGGGGGGTGGAGGTACGCCCCAATAAAAGTGACGGGGGTGCTCGTCGTACCTGTTAGGGGTAAATTGTGGATTGGTACCGCTTAGGGTGCTAAACTGGCCTAAAATGACTGTTGACGCTTTATTAGGAGAAATATTTCTGACAGTACTTTCAAAAAGTCCTTGAGAAGAAAGTGTTCGAAAGTTATCATTATTACTATTAAAATTTGCAGTGCCAGTTATTATAATTTGTTGTTGTTGAATTGGTACCTCTTCGGGGTGGAAATGAATTTGGGAGACTCCCATAAAACAAGATTCTGGTACCTTTTAGAAGTATTCTCGAAATTTTCCGACGAGCACCCTCGTCATTTTTATAAGGGGAGTACCCCCCCTCCCCCCGGGTCATACGTTACTACTGCGCCTTAAGTCTGCTTTTTTTGCTACCTTTTTCACATAAGCTGTCGACAAAGAGTCTCAGTCCGTCGGTTGCCATGTCCAAGTCATTGTTAGAGTCAGTTGCGAGTCTACGCAATGAATATAGCTGCATTTTTGCAATCGAAGGAAAGATTAACCCGGAGAAAAACAAAACGATGTTACGTTACAAAGTGAAAATATAGATAGGTTTAAGAGCGCGTGTTGTTGCAGTTGGATCCTGACCAACTTAAATTAGAAAGGTAAATAAAGAAGATAAGGGGTGAAGGGGTGGGGTGGGTAGGGGAGTTATCGTACTTCTTGTTTGGAGTACATTGTAGATTGTCGTGTTTCTAGAACCCCGGGGGAGGTACTCCCTTATATATATAGCTGGACAGAGAACGTTACGAACGTTGCGAACTTTTAGTTTTGTCTTCATTTTCGATTCATTTTTCTTTTAGCCCCTGACGAAGGTTTGTTTTCTAACCGAAATATTGGGCTCATTTGTTTAATATATTTTTTGGGTTGTTTTATTCGTTTGTTTACTTCTTCATCGCCTTGCCGTGAGGATCAGTTTGCCGTTTTATATTTTCTACAAACTGTACTAATCCAGGTTTACAACTAAGAGATCCAGCATCACTCAACGGTTTGAATTGTCGCTGTGGACTAGTTTATATTATGATTTTTTATCTTCGCGCCAGTCTGTTCTAAACAGAGTGTATCATTTACCTGGAATTTCGTGCGAGTCTGTCTTCATTACTATTGTTTTCCAACCAAGAGATTCTTTCTTGTTTGCAACTGTACGGTTCTTGGCACACTCCGCGTGCTAGTCTGACGTCACACAGAAACACGCAAGAGGGTCGGGTCGCTTGTGCAAACGAGCAGGGGACACCACAGTCATTAGAACGAGGGAGGTCGGAGGGAAGATAAAAAGCTAGCAAATAGTTCTATATATCGCTAATTTTATCATAAGTGTCTAGCTTTGTTGTTGCTTTTATCTGGTTGTGTTAACCGTCAATTCCTTCATAAGGTATTCCGTTTGTTTCTCCAAACCCCGCTCCAAACCTGACCCTATTCCAGATTGAAACATTCCATTTTTCCATACCCGTATTCGGTCCTGGCTAATAAAAGTTGTAGTCGGTATCATACTACTTATAGTAAACAAATTTTTAATAAGTAGTATTTGAAAAAGAAAGTTCTTATTCATTTGGAGATGAAGAGTCCATACCTGATTTCAGATCAAAACGGCTCAAAATCCCTAACCTTTGGGGTGGCACATACCCCGGCATATAGCCATTTCAGGCGTGTACCACCCCTCCTCGTGCGCCAGGCATATGTTCGGCCGCCCTGGGCTTTCTTCTTATTTTTCAAAAATCTTGGAAGTTAAATGTTTTCAAATCCTGCTTGACGATGATATCTCATATTTGTTTACGCAGCTTCGTCTCTCAAGTGTCAAGCTTGTGGCCCTGGTGACGTTCCTTGTGATGGTTCCAATGTAAGGAGCATCCAGTGTGATGATTTTGCAGATCGCTGTATGACAACCAAGGTGACCACGAATATTCCAAATCTTGGACCATACACCTCTGTGATGAAAAACTGTTCGCATTCTACGGTGATCTGTAAAGAGAGTGGCGATGGTTATCGTAAGTATAGCTAGCAGCTGTCATATTAATTTTTCCCGGATTATATAAATGTCACGTTCGTTCTGACATCACAGGATTATATAAATGTCACGTTGTTCTGACCTTACAGATGTCCCTTGGTATGAAATTAATTACTTTAAGCCATTTGCGCGCTCTCATCCGTGCATCAAAATCCGCAAATTTTGAGAAAACCGAACAATGAATACCGTGAATAACACTAAAATTGACTAAACGTTGCCTAGCTTGAACATGAAAGCGATAGCTCGCGAAAGAGATTCATCTTTTAATCATAGGTGTGGCTAGATTCACCCATGAAATCGCAATTAAACAAACTCATTTTGTGCTGTAAAACAGTGGAGAGGAGAATTTAGCGAACATGGAACAACACACTTGTGACCTTATTACACGTGCGTGAAACATTTTGATAAAAGTCCAGGGAAATGAGGGGGGTACTCCCTAAAATGGCCTATACTTGGAGGCTCCCCCGGAAAAGGGCACCATTTTTAGGCCTGAGGTAAATGTAAGGGTAAAGATTTCGTCTGTGGAGGTATATGAAAGGATAGGAAAATCTGTCATTTCACTCTTTGAAAAAACCCAGAAGGGCTAACAGATGCATTTTATAATTGTGAAAAAGTCGGAAACAGGTTTTGGTTTTGACGTTATTCATATTTTAAAAGACAGTGCATTTACAGCAGTTTAAGGGGGTACAAGGTTTTAAACTAGGTATGTGAAAAGGGGTGCCATTTGTCAATAGAAGGTTCACGAATGGGGTAGCTTTTCTGTCAAATATGGTATATAAAAGTATGAGGGGTGGGACCTCAGGACCTAAGGACGGGGCCTCCCCTTATGAAACTTTTGTTGAGTACCCCTACCCCCCTCCCCCTCCCGGAGCGATAAAGGCTGCACGCATAATTTTCTTGGCGGTTGTGGGAGCAATAGGGATTGATAGGACGATGATTTTGATTTTAGCTACAGTCGTCTTTGTTAGGGGTAAAAATTGCTCTTTTTGGTCTCACTTAGCGAGTTCAAGACGGAAAGCTGATATTTTTTGTACAAACAACCAAACGCCGTCAAACTGTTTTGAATACAGTTTGATTTCTAACAACCCTAACGCAAATTTGATTACTTTTAAAGTTCTTAATTTGTTCCGAGAGATGGTTTCCTGCTTTGTTATAGTCATTTTTAGGCGCCAATTGAAATCTGAACCGCGCCCATACTTAATGTTAATTCGAATTTTCCGTCGAGCTTTTTCAATCCTTCCATAGGATAATCAACCCCCCCCCCCCCCCCGGGGGGGGTTACGGCCTCTTGCCTTGTTTCATTTCGATCAACACTCAAATTATTGTGTTACTTTGCAGCTTGCCGAAAGAGTCTTTTGCCAGATGGGGCTAACTGTACTGTCACATGTTGTAAGGGCGACATGTGTAATCAGCTATCCTCTGAACAGGCCCCAACAAAGCCGTCAACAGCTGAACCAGTAACTAAAGGTACCGTTATTTTAGAACTCAATTAATTGGTCATTAGAGGCCTTTACATTCTAAGTTTAGGGCGACTACAAGGACGAAGTTTTCTCAATAGCAAGTAGTGCGCCCCCGTGAACCAGCCTCATTATGGCGGGGTTGTCCTCGTGCAAACGTTTTTGGAGTGTCCCTTGGTTCAAATCCTGACACTATTTCGGAGTTAGACATGTTTCTTTTTCATATACCCATTTTGAGACCTGCGCTAAAAAAAACCAAACCATCTTGTTTACAACAACAATAATTTATTTATTTATTAACAAAAGATAACGTTTTACAATATTGGATACCCAGCAAATAGCTATTAAACTAATCTAGGCGGGACAAGACAAGACAAAGGCGATATTTTACACATATCACAAATAGAAAAGAAATCTAATAACAAGAAAAACGAAACACTGGAAGCTTTCGCTATTTAAAAGTTACACGTAAATTTGAAGACGTTAGTACAGTGATTTGTTTTTTGATTTAGATTTAAATTACAACCAGAGGTATATACAACAAATTAGCAGGTTAACTTGATGAAATATCCTGGTAACATTCATGTAACTATCTTCTTACCACTCGGTTTGCCAACCCATTGCTTTTCGAAGTATATTCATTCAATAATATTTGACACTGAAAATTATTATTCATTTGGAGCTAAAAAAAAATTACCCGATTCCAGATAAAAAACAGCTCCAACCCTTACCCTTGGGGTGGAACATCACCTACATAGCTCTTTGAGGGTGTAGCACCAACCCTACCCCCGCATCTGGTCAGTGATCTTAGTGCAACTTTTAACCATTTAAAATTGGTTAGGGCCTTATTGTTATCCTGAAAATTTTAGAAGCTATTACTGTAACTATACCCTAAAGCAATTGCATTTGACGATGTGGTATATTTTTTAACACAGATTCCTCTCTCAAGTGCCAAGCTTGTGGCCCTGGTGACGTTCCTTGTGATGGGTCTAATGCAAGAAGCATCGAATGTGATACATACGCAGACCGGTGTATGACAGTCACGATGACCATGAATATTCCAAATCTTGGACCATACACCACTGTGGTGAAAAACTGTTCGTATTCTACGATGATTTGTAAAGAGAGTGGCGTTGCGTATCGTAAGTTTAGCAGCTGACACATTTTGGGACGTTTGTTAAATTTAGCCTGCGTGGCAGGCGCAAAAAGGGAAGGGGGCGAGGGAAAAGGAAAGGGGGAGGGGAAAAGGGAAGGGGGAGGGGAAAAGGAAAAAAGGGAGGGGAGGGAAAAAAGGGGGGGAAAAAGGGAGGGGGGGGAAAGGGGAGGGGAAAGGGGAAAAGGGAAGGGAAGGGGGGAGGGGGGGGAAAGGGAAGGGGGAGGGGTAAGGGAAATGGAAAGGGAGCCCCTACTATAAGAGCCCGTGTTTTTTATTCCGCCCACCAATCAACTGTCAATACGTGGCCAGCATGGTCCAAACTTTATTACTTTGTTTACAGGAAATTGTGAAGTCGAGACGCTTTTTTCAAATGAAGTCATAATCGTGCAAAATAAAACTTTTCAGGTACTGTTCTTACTCAGCAAACACGACCGGCAATGATCAGTTTCCTGTCAATACAGAACAAAACTTTGGTCTTGCCTCATCAAACGCAATGGCCGTAAAGTAGAGAAAAGTCGACAGCCTGAAACTCGAATACTTTATGAAAGGAGAATTATATATACATTTGTCAGAAAGCTCAACGGATATTTATTGGTGAAGCTTTAGATCCTTCTACAAATTATTTCGAAGTTCGTTCAACGCGGTATATGATTTGCGGAAAAGTCGTGTCTCCAGCTTCCAAAATTCTTCTCATAATTGTGAGCTCTTGCCTGTGAATATCGGCGTTGCAGACTACAAGAATCGCCGAGCATCCGCTGCCTGCTAAACAAGCTATTACAGTTGGTTCTTCTAGTTCGGGTTTCAAGGTGACGTTCCTACGTGATTGGAGTAATTTTGATCCTCTAATGCTTAATTTCCTTTGATGCTGCATCAACAAGGCGATTGTTTTTTGCTAATGCACTTCAATAAGTTACTCATTACGGCTAAGCCAATTAGGAAGTTGCAGACGCCAGCGTCCGCAGAAATGAAGAAAGAGGGTTCTTTTTGCAGGCGTCCCTTACCCTCTCTCCCAATCCCCCTCCCTTTTTCCCCTCCTCCCAATCCCCTACCACTTTCATCGCCTGCTCGCAGGTTATTTCAATTTAAAACTGTTTTCTTGATTTTAATGTCGTAATCATAATGCTCAGAACTTACAGACGTCACATGGTATGTCGGCCAGAGTGGTTTAGACCTGAGCATCAGAGCAATCCTTGGCTCCTTAAGCTGAACTTATGTTTTGTGAACTAGTTCAGGTGGCTCTCTTGCCAAAATAAGTTGAGCGTTAAACTATTATGACCTATTGATACCCAATTTCCCGCGATCATGCGCCAGTTATAGGCCAGACGGGAAGAGGGAGGGGGCGAACTCCCATATAGAAGTGTCGTGCTCGTCGTCTTTCTTAGGCCTGCACCAAACGTCGAACTTCGCATGAGACAAACCAAACTCTAATTTGGGTCGACCTAAATTAAGTTAAGGTCGTCTGTTGGGTCAGAAGTCGAACGAAGACGTGTCAACCCAATCAACTGAATCAACCCAAAAAGCAATTTTAATAAATTTTGTCCCGAACGAGGCTAAATATACATTATCACACAAATTTTTAATTCATTAGTTTAGTTCGTGGCAAGTGAAGGTAGACGTTAGGCCCAGAGACGATCCTTCAGACGTTCCCGGGGCGGATCTAGAGGGAGGGTGCAGGGAGTGCGCACCCTCCCCTGAGATGGCCTGCGGTTTTCTAATACAATTGGTATTCTGCAAAAAAAAAAAAAACTATGTGGTTTATTGGTGTTGAAGTATAGCAAGAGACGAGTGCACCCCCTCCTAAAAAAAATCCTGGATCCGCCCCTGCGTTCTATCCGACTGAAGCGACGGATAGAACGTGTTGGACGATCCAAACTCATTCAGAAGACCTTCAATGCGCCAGACGTCGAACTTTTCATGAACTTAACTCTCTAAGGGCGCTTTCCATTGAACCAAAAAGTCTGGTTTGAATTTCGGCAACTTCCAGTAGCGAGTGGAGCAGCATTTTCCAAAATGTCCAAAAAGAGGACAACCTCGCGAGGTATACCCAAATTTTCGGAAACTTTTACCCGAAGTTTTCTTTCCATTCAACTTTGCTCCCGGAATTTCTAGAATTTACGGTTGAATGGTTCGCATTTCTGAAATTCAACAGTTTTTATTGTACCATTTGCCGCTATTTCCAATTTTTCAAAGGTTTTGGTTGACTGGTGGAAGCGCCCTAAGTGAAAAGTTTGACGTTTGGCCAAGGCCCTAGAGGTAAAATTAGGGTGTTCAGCCGCGATGAAAAGCTAAGATTTTAACTCATGCAGCTACCGCTTATTGTAGCTTCAAAAGAATATACATGTATGCAATGAAAACCAAATCAGTCATTTGGTTTTCATTGCATACATGTATGTACGTAAGACTGTTTTGAAGACAGCATGGAATGTTTACATCCCTAACGCAATTTTAAATACTAAAGGTCTCAGTTTGTTCCGGGAATTGTTTTCCTGCCGTTTCAAAGTCTCTTTATTGGAGTAGACTGCTTGCAGCCCGCCTTTTCTCTTAAAATCCGTTGAGTTCTTCTCGATTGGGTTTCGCGTGCAGTAACTTTCCGGAGAAAGCCAAATAAAGCCTAAACCATCCACGGTCACATTGATGCCGTTTAGAGATTTAATTCGAATTTTCCCACGAACTTCCCCGTGCCTTCCATAGACGAATCTCCCCGACGGGGGGAGGGGGGAAGGGGGGATGATGGCAGTTCCATGATCTTGTTTCTTCATTATTAACTTTCTTCTCGTTTGTGATGAGCAAGTGATGTTCAAGACACCTAAATTGTTGTCTTTCTTTGCAGCTTGCCAGAAGAACGTTTTGCCACAGGGGGCTAACTGTACTGTCACATGTTGTAAGGGTGACATGTGTAATCAGCAATCTTCTGAAGACGCTACAGTTTCACCCACTCCAAAAGGCACAGAGTCGACGACCACTGAGCCAGTAACTAAAGGTATCTTTGTTACAGAAATCAAGTTATTAGAAACCTTTAGGTTCTAATTTAAAGGACGGCTAAGCGGACGAGATTGTCTCAATAGAGAGATTAAGATTCACGTTTACGACAAACTGCAAACGTGAATTTGTACCACGTGATCAAGTTTTTCCCTCAATTGTAGTTTACTGTTTAATACCTCTACACAAAAATGAGTAGTTTCGCGCCTGTTTTATCCATAAGAATGGTTCTGGGCACTTTTTACCTGCTTCTTTTCTATTCTGATAATTTCTCAATTTGAATCTGACGTTTGCCGTTTGTCGTGAACGTGACTCCTAATCTCTCTAATCATAAGTAAGTAGTGTGCGTGCATGAACGAGCAGGTGAACTGGCGGGAAACGTGATAGCCGTCGTCATTCTAATAGAGAAGAGATGGATCAAAACGTCGAATTTTTCACGGATATACTATCTCAATTTCTTAAATTTGGCATGTTAACCCTCGGACGTACAAGGAGAGGGGGGGGAGGTTAGGGTTACGGTTAGGGTTGGGGCCATCCCTCCTCCCCCATAAGGTTTTTCTACCTGGCGTTTTCAGTAGCTGTTCATTTATCCCTCGCGCACATTGCTATGGTTACGAGCCATGACGTCATAAGTAGCTAGAGGTCAAGCCAATTTTGGGTGAAAAGATATGTTTTTTAAACTTCTTTAAACAATGAAAGTAAATCTTGTGGCTAAAATCATGCAAAGTGCTTATTTATGTGTTATTTTTTATGCAAACACCAAAAATGACCACTTCTCAAGGTTTTAACTTGATTTCTACTTCTTGGTAAAATCCAAGATGGCGACCATTGTTGGTGCAGCTGCGCCACCACCCCTAAAATATACTTCATCTTGTTAAGAAGATCAAAAGCTTTCCAACTAAAGGTAAAATAACATAACATGTCAAAAACTCTGGAAAGGGGTTCCATCCATCCCCTCCCCACCCCTTGTACCACGGTGGGGGTTTGAATTTGCCTGTACGTCCTAGGGTTAAGACCCCTATTGTCATAGAAAACCAGTGTTTGCTACTTTTTTGCCGATGAAACGTCCAAAGATGTAATGAATTTTAAAGATTCCTTTCTATCATCGAGCAAATCTTCCGAGCATTCATTTCGACCTGTTATACTTAAAGGGCGGTACACAGCGAGGTTTCATGAAAGGATATACTAGACTTAAAGTTGCGTATTTTCAACTCTTCAGAGCAAATGGATCCCCATATCAATCCCTTCTATTTATGTCTATATTTCTACGTTTTAACAACCATATTGAATTTCTCGTGCAAAGTCTTACAATTTTTCGTAATATGTAAATCCGTATCGAAACTCGCGTAATTTATGCACCGAGCTTGGGCCTCCTGTGGGCTGTTTGAAGCAGATTTGATGTTTTAAGCACCTTTTTTGCAGGAAAATGTGGATGTAGTCGTTTCTGCAACAAGTACCCCAAACAAAATTTAACAATTAACTACAATACAATTGTAGTTTTTCCAAACAATTTTCAAAAATGCCTGCAGGCATAACACAACACGATGACAACAGCAAAACAACCACCGCAACAATTTACCTCGAAAGATTAAGCAGCAAGTAACAATTTGTAATCAATTCAAAACTACACTACAATCAATTTTTCAAAAAGCCAATTAAACAGCGCAATAGCCCACAAGTAACCACACAAGAAACCAAGGTTCTTAGAAATACGTTATCGCAAAAACCTCACGAGGCTGTTAAGGGTCAGAAGTAAGAATAAAGGAAAACAAGCGAAAGACAAAAACAGGATTAAAACTGAAATAAAAATGAACAGAAAAAAAAATTACAATATCGAAAAAGAACAAAGCTGGGTTTATCTGCACGTGCAGGCGACTCCGATACCAATGTGCCACGGAGCCACTTATTTTTTGGTGAAGTAAATTTGTTATATCAGAAGCATAGAACCCCGAATTAAAACCAATAACTTTGTCGCAATGCTGGGGGTCTCTAGATTGTCGCGCGAGTGCTCCATAGGAAAACCTTGTATCACGATGTAAATGATGCGCTGCAGAAAGCATTTACTGTTTTACGAGGTAATATATGACGAAAAACGGAATACAGTATTAAACCCCGAATAACAAGGACTGAGTTAGTTCCTCCTAACAAGACAAAGTCGACTACCAATGACATGCATGCACCGTAAGGGAAGCGATTTCTTAAAGTTGTTACTTCAAAAACGGTCTTTGCGTGACCATTAGCTTAAATAACCTTTAAAAAATCACTTAGTTACTATCTATCTAGAATAGCTAGTAACACATATTTTCAAATTAAATTCACAAGTTTCTGAACTCGAAAGTGAAAGTTGCATAAAATTCGCTGACATCTTCCCAGACGTGATGCGTGTAATAAGAAGCTAGAATGAAACGCAAGTTAGTAAGACTTAGATGCCGGCGATCATGTTTTCAACTAAGGTCATCCCCATAAAATGTGTCGTTTCCCATAGCCATCCCTCTCGCGAAGGTGGGTCGGTCGGTTGGCCAAAAAAAGAATGGACACATTATTGCATATTAAATGTCACGTTTAGTCTGCAAGATATAATCAGATGGTAAAAGATGTATATTAACAGGACTATTAAATGTCTAAAAAGGCTACAAAAACGAAGTATCGATGATAATTTAAGACAATTGGTGTCAATAAGACAAGATCGTGTGCTTGTAAATTAAAGTACTTGCTTTTTTACAAGTGATTCTGGAATTTTTTTTTTTTTTTTTTTTTTTACTTCTCCAAAAAAATGGGTCGGTCGGGCGATGGGAAACGAAACATTTTATGGGGATGGCCTAATCAGATGAATGAACAAACAGAAAACAATAAAGAGACAAATTGTTTCTTGAAAATGTTTATTCGAAAATCCAAAAGTTTACCGTTAAAGGGAATTCACATAACACTGACTAGATCGTGCCGGATCCGTTCGCACAAGTAAAATCGGCTGAGCACATGGCAAACATTATAACGCTAAAATTATCTGTCTCAGATCGGGCGCATTTTCCAATTCTTCTTGAAAACTCTATCAAAAATATATAAAACGACCGTCTATGAAATGACAATAACGTACTTTCTTTGGGCATAATGTGTAAAATGTAAGTTTACTTAAAAATTCTTTAAAAAGGTTGCTGACTTGGTCGCACTTCAGAAAAGGACTATTGCGCTCCGTCGTGAAAGAAACCAGGTCGAAGTCTCAAAGGAAAATTTCGCAGCTTAAAACTTTTCTTTGTCCCCAAAAAGAAAACAAACTGTTACTTGCCACACGTCTACTCAAAACTGCCATACATGTGTTCGCGTACTGTTCTGAATGAATTTAGAAATCTACAGTCACAAAAAAGCCGACTTCGTCCGCGCCTTGCACAACGCTTCTGCAAAGCTTGCCAAATCATTTTGTTTGTAGTCGCCATGCTGGTTTTGCTGAATGAGAACAGAAGTTGCAGATAACTGGTTTGCCGTGGTGGATAGGTTTACAGGTTTATAGGCCTGAGGATGATCTTTGTCGGTCAAACAGGCTGCAGATGCAATTAGCTGATTTCGGCGAGAGGCTTTGCGATATCGTGAAGAATTCGTCGCTGGTCTATGTTTTCAAGCCATACCGCTTATAACTTTGTGGCTCTTTATGTTTTCGCAGGGTTGCATTTTATAGCAGCATAACTACTTTGTCTTTTATGTCACGAAACGATTTCTTTCGGTCGTAGACATACATGTAGTAAACGTTGCAAGCTCAACGTTTTTAGCCTTGAATTTTCTGATTCCATATTTAGGCAAAATAATTTTCCGTGCTTCTGATTGGAAGACTGCGTCGGCTAAAAAAAACCCCAGCATTGTTCTACACACATAAAGGGAAGTTAGACGCTTCGGAAGGGGGGGGGGTATATGCCTCTGGTTACATCTAAAGCATTTTTTCTCGGCTATATAGACGCTGTTTGAAGCTGGTGGAGATGTATTTGAGGAAAATTAGATTAAGCGAGTATTTCAAAGCCATTTTGCATTATTTCTGGTTTAAACAATAGATGGTTCAAACACTGAATCAGAGGAAACCAGTCACACCAATTGAATTACGAAAAACAATAGATCGAACGTATTGATATGAAGCTCAGTCGATTTAAAGAATAAACGGAATATAAACGTCTGTGTGATCTGTGAATCGAACCGCCTGTTCTAAAGACTAGACGTTGCCTATTGGCGATCAAGCAACTCGACCCGCGACACAAATTAACAAAATTATACAATTACGGACACAAAATACCAAGACGGTTTTAACAAGTGCATGAAGGCAACAACAATCAAATCATTGATCAAATTAGCTATGTATAACATTATTTGCTACAATAGCTTGTTATCTTTTCCCCGACCTCTCTTGTTCGAATGATCGTATGGTGTCCCTTGCCAATTTGCACATGCGACCCGAAGTTCTCGCCCGTTACTATGTGAGATCACACTGGCACACGGGATGTGTCAAGAAACTTGGTTGGAAAACAATAGAGTCGTCAGTCCCCCCGGCCACTGCAAAATATGACAGCGACTATGTTGAAAGCAAAACATGTTCCTTTGGACTGGATAAATGCATGATTCCAGACATGAAATACCGGAATTTTAAACAAAAACGGCTCAAATCCCCTATTCTTTGCGTATACTTAAATCGCTGTTTCTGGGTTGATCCATTCACTCCCCCTTAGCGTTTCTGTTCAGTCGTCCTAGGGCAACTTTAATCTGTTTCATATTTTTTTGCGGAAATCTCTAGATGCTAAAATTGCACACCTTAAAGCAATTCTATACTTAATGATATGGTATATTTCTTAACACAGCTTCCTCGCTCAAATGCCAAGCTTGTGGCTTCGGTGACGTTCCTTGTGATGGGTCTAATGCAAGAAGCATCGAGTGTGATACGTATGCAGATCGCTGTATGACAGCCACGGTGGCCATTGGACCATACACCTCGGTGTTGAAAAACTGCTCACATTCTAAGATAAATTGTGAAGAGAGTGGCGTTGGTTATCGTAAGTATTGCTGGCAGCTGTCACATTTTGAGGATATTTTGAATGGATTTCAAAAACTTCAACCTTTTTTGGGCTGTGTCAACATTGAATGCAACAACACCAAAGATGACTTCTAATTGTAACCGAAAGGGAACACGATATCGATCGCTTGACGAGCAAGATGTTTACTCAAGCTTCCAAAAGAATGCCCAAGTTCAAAACTGGGCCACTTTTTAATGTAATTTTTTTATTAGTAATATTTTTATCATGCAGGGCACGCACCACCTTCTTTCAAAATGTTTGGCTGTGGTTGCGAATCACAAATTATGCAAAACACTTCAAACGACCATCGTCGCAAACAGTGTTAAATTTTGCTCAAATGTCGGTCAGACTGGTTTCGCCTTCAGAGCAAAGCAATGGTTCCTTTAGTTTAATATTTCTCCCAACGTAAGGTAACTGATCTATGTGGATTCCACGCTGTGGCGGACTTCTGCAATCCGGATTCCTTATCAGTGGAACTTGGATCCCCGAGATTCCAATCGTTTGCGAGACTCCGGATTCCTTGGGCTGCATCCAGCGTCCAAAGCCCAGGATTCCGGATTACCTTACATCGGACAAAATAGTAATCTACGTTTTGAGCTGGTCCGGGTCGCCCTCTTCTCAAATTAAGTTAAGCCAAAAGCTATTGCGACCTAATCATACCCAATTTCCCGCGGCGCTCTTTGCACCAGTTAAAGGTCTGGTGGGTAGAGGGAGTCGGGGGGGGAGGGGCTTTTATATGAAGTGTCTGAAGTGCTCGTCGTCTTTCTGAGAAATAGTACAGAAAGCGAGTATTTTTATCATAAAGCTTTTGTTTAGGATATTTTCAAACGAATATATGCAAGGTAAACCAAATAGTTTTAAGACTGGTTTGAAAACCACTCTCAAGTTCAACATCCGTCTCGGCTCAAGCATGTTAATTTATCCTGACCGCCCTTGCAAAAATGGGAACATGTGGCCTTATGATTGAAAAAAAATCGTAAAAAACTTGCGTTAGTTTTGATTGCCACCAAATTTGGCCTACAGGAAGTAGAAAGTTGAATCCAATCACAGGGCCAGTTTCAGTTTCCAGCAGTTGACATGCTTCACGCAACGATTTTTTGAAAACTTAGCAAAATGGAAGGCAATGCAGTAAAGAATTTGTGGCAGCTTCGGCCATCAGGAGATACTTTTGGCGACAAATTTCGACCAAAAATATACCTCACAATGAATTTCAATAAATGCAAAAGTCGTGGTAAGAATAGGTTTATAACCGTAGCGTTCTCTTCGCCGTGAGTTTATTCTGCTACGCATCTTCATGAACTTCGATGAAATGCTTCTTAGTTTTGGTTTATATTGACAAAGACCTCCATGTTTTGATAATAAAGAGTTTCAATTCATATTTGTGTGTTTTGATTATAGACGAAAACATGAAGATAGCAGACTTTTTTCTAAGAGTAAACACTCAGCAGTAAACACTCTTAATTTGACCATAACCGGGCACGTTAAAGGGCTCCTTACGTGATAGAAAAATTAAAATTACAGACTTTTTTCCTTGTTGCTAAATTTTGAACGGTTTTGGTAAATTTTTACAAAGTTATGATCTTTTAAATATTTTGTGCAAATTATGCTAAGTCATGCCTTAACATGCTTGAGCTAAAGTAATTTTAAAAGAGTTTTAATTCGAATTTTCCGACGATCTCTCAGGTCCCTTCCATACAAGAGTCTCTCCCCACCCCCCACCCCTCCCCACCTGCCCAACAAAGCCTGTTTCGTCACATTGTCTCTACATGACCCAAATTATTGTGTTTCTTTGCAGCTTGCCGAAAGAGTGCTCTGCCAGACGGGGCTAAATGCACGGTCACATGTTGTAATGGTGACATGTGTAATCAGGAATCTTCTGAACAGCCGTCCACAGCTGAGCCAGTAACTAAAGGTATCTTTGTTGTAGAAATCAGGTCATTAAAGACCTTCATATTCCAAGTTAAAGGACCACAACAAGGACGGGATTTTCTCAATAACAAGCAGTGCGCGTGCGTGAACTAGCGTTTGAAAAGGCGGGAAACGTGATAGCCGTCGTCAATTTACTACGGTCTTTGAAGAAAATGTCGTAAAAAAGTCATCAAACTTGTGAAATTTTATTATTTGTCGATTTGGAGAAAGGTTTTGCTCGTTGAATAAAAAGTAACCTTTAATGAGCCCACTTCTCTGTTGAGGAAAAAGTACGATGAAACTTTCGTGGTTGTCTATTTCTGGATAATACGAGAGAAAAATTTTATAACGAAAATAAATCTGGTACTAGTGAATAGGCATCCTTGACCTGGAATCTAAAAATCTTTCTCAAAGTCCCATAGAGACGAATGATAATAATTTGACTAGAGAAAAAATTGCCTTCTCCTATGACTAAGCATAGCCAAGACTGGGAATTAGCAAGTTTTTTTTGCTTGGTTTTCAATAAAGTCGGTTGTACTCTTCTCTGTTCCTCCCCTCACAAAACAATAGTGTTGTATTACTGTTTTCACAGCTCTACCTTCCCGCCATGATCAGTTATTAAAAACTGCATTTTTTCCTCACCCTTGCTGGGTGGTGCTTCTGAAAAAGCTCGAACCAGTGTGGATAAAAGAAAGTCTACAGAATAAAGCAAGCTGCAAAACATCTACGTCATAGTCCAAGATAGCGAACCAGTCAAATTGCTCTAAACGCCAAGATCACCGACCTGCAAGAGTGAAAAATGAGGCTCTGTTTGGGAACGGAAAGGACTTATATTTTCCGTTACCATATCCCAGTAGTCTGACAACTGGTTGCGTGAGTACCATAGAGCACGCCCTCGATGCAGTCTTCTATGACTGGTGTAGTTATAATATTAAATTCCGACCCCGCTCGCCATAGAACCTCCAGTAGCTCAGTGCTTAAAGCATCCGAACTAGAACTCAGGGAGTCGTGAGTCTGATTCTCTTGAGCGAGGAATTTTTTCTGACCTTCCTGGTTTCAGAATTCTCATTCTTCCAAATTAATAAAAAAAATAATGGCGCACACCCAAAGTTGGATTTTGTAATTACGTGGAAGAAGCCATCTCAAGATATAAAAAGATGACTCGAACATTTCCCTGTGCGTTGCACCTCTGTGCAAGAGTTGACACTGGAAGCAGTTTTAGTCAGATTCCCTACTATATATAACTTATGGATCATCTAAGCAAAGTAAAACCCATCCTACCCAATTCTCCAGTGTCAAACTTTCCCAAATGCCCTGAGTATACCCGGCGGGAATACCCTGGAAGAGTATTGTTGAAGTTAAATTTGACTGGCTCCTTTTTTTTTCAGCGTTTAACATCAAGTGTCCGGTTTGCACCAATATTCCGCACATGGGAGCACGCAAATGTGACAGCTACTATGTTGAAAGCAAAACATGCCCCATGGGCCTGGACAAATGCATGACAGTGACAGGGCAGGTGAAGGATGTGGTTGGTGCTGGTGTAAACTTCCCGACAAAATTTGAAGTAAAAAACTGCTCAAACAGCCTATTATGTGAAGGAGGCAGCGATTTGAACAGTAAGAAAAGGACAACTGTATAGCTTTATAATAGCTACAATGGAGATTTAAAGTGTTGAAACCTAATTCCTGTGATAATAGTAAAACTAGCGACCTTCCCCTCCCGCCCTCACCACCCCAAATAAGGTTGACGTTTGAACAAAGTGGGGGAAATGAGCCTTTTTTGTTAGTGGGTGGGGGGAACAAGGGGTGAGCCCCAAGATGATAAAAAGAAAATTTGCTTGCAAGGCGCGCCAGTGGACCAGGGTAGTTTTCCCAGGAAAATAACTTACTGTAGAGCAATTAAGCTCTCGCGCTAAATTTCAATGGCCGCAAAGTCTCTTTTCCATATTCAATAAGGGTTTTCTTCAACCCTTCCGCCTCCGTCTTAAAAGGAGAGTTTACTTCTTAAATGGACAATTCCATTAAACGCTCCATTCTTGAATGCTTTAGAGTAAAACATTGCTAAACATTGTAATTTACAGAGTAGATTCTTATTTTTTTTTAAAAAAACTTTTTTTTCAGTGTGCAAGATTCTCAACTCGACAGGCCTCGTTAAATCTTGCTCAGTGAAGTGTGTTTCACCGACCGTTACACGTCCCTCTCTTGCCGGTGGCCCCAAGATGAATTTTACTTCGGTTACACCACAAGTACCAGAAAGTACGTCTATTTTACAGTCCGTCGAGCTCTGTTTTTATTCAAAAGTTCGCCTATATCTTCCTTGTGAAAAGGGCTAAAAAGTTCTGCCATTTCGTATCATTACCAAAACAACTCAGCCTTGTCCCCAGCTTTTCTCGGTTAACGGTTCAACAATCTGGCAATTTTGCTGCACGATTGACATCACCAGTATCTTCTTTTGTAGCTGTAACGGAGAAATATTTTGAATGAATAATAATACTTCTTTTGTCTTTTAGTGGGCGTTTTCAGGCTCAATCATCTTCCGGTGTTGTCAGCCCCACGTTCGTGGGGCAGGAACACGTGACGAACCCCTAAGAACGTCTGCGGGGGAGGCTATGAAAAATGAGGCTCTGTTTGGGGACGGAAAGGACTAATGTTCCTTTACCTTATCCCAATAGTGTGCCACCTAGTTGCCTGAGTACCATCATAGTAATTAAAGTGGAATGGTTGGAGAAACCCTTTGTTGTAGGCTGTTTTTGTTAGCTTTTTTGGCCCTGACCGTGCACAACGTTCAATAGCATTCCTATCATTTTGAAGTTATTGACCAATAGAAACATTGCATCAAATTATTCAGTTATAATTTGTAAACAGGAAACAAGGAATTGTGCACAGTCAGGGAGCTTCCAACATAGCCTACAGCACCATTGTTTTCAACATTGATGTTTGCCGGGTTTTCTAACCAGTCTCCTCTACTAACTATGGTACCATCGAGTAAGTCCTCGATGCAGTCCTCTGTGACTGGTGTAATTACAATTGAATTCCGACCCCGCTCGCCATAGAGCCTCCACTAGCTCAGTGGTTAGAGCATCTGAACTAGAACTCGTAGGTCCGATTCTCACGTGGAGCTCGGAATTTTTTTCTGAGCTTCGTGGTATCAGAATTCTCTTTCTTCCAAATTAATAATAAAATTAATGGCGCACACCCATCGACCAAAAGAGGTTAAAGAGTCTTCTCAAGATTAACAAAGGTGACTCGCCGAGAACATTTCCCTTTGCGTTGCACCTCCGAGCAAGAGTTAACACTTGAAGCAGTTTTACTCAGATTCCCTACTATAACCGGCTAAGCAAAGTCAAACTCATCCTTCCCCATTGTCAAATATTCTCAGATACCCTGAGTATACCCGGTGGGAGTACCCTGAAAAAGTATTGTTATAGTTTAAAATTGACTGGCTCCTTTTTTCAGCGTCTAACATCAAGTGTCCGGTTTGCACCAATATTCCGCACATGGGAGCACGCAAATGTGACAGTCTCTATGTTGAAAGCAAAACATGCCCCATTGGACTGGATAGATGCATGACCGTGGCGGGGAAGGCGAAGGATATGGTTGGTGCTGGTGCAAACTTCCCGACAAAATTTGAATTAACAAACTGTTCCAACAGCTTCTTATGTGAACCAGGCAGTGATTATAACAGTAAGAATAGCAAAACTGTATAAGCTCTAAAATAGCTGCAATGGAGATCAAAAGTGTTGAAACCTTATTCCTGTGACAATAGTAAAACTAGCGGCCCAAATAAGGTTGACATTTGAACAAAATGGGAGGAAATGAGCCTTTTTTGGCTCGGGGGTGGGGGAATGAAGGGGTGAGACCCAGAATGACAAAAAGAAAACTTGCAAGGCGCGCCAGTGGGCGAGGGTGATTTTCCCAGGAAAATAACTTACTCTAGAGAAATTAAATTCTCTCCGCTAAGTCTTATGTCCATATTCAATAAGAGTTTTCTTAAACCCTCCCGCCCCCTTCTTAAAAGGAGAGTTTACTTCTTAAATGGATATTTCCCGAACACTCCATTCTTGAATGCTGTAGAGTAAAACATTGCTCAACATTGTAATTTACAGGGTGAATTCTTATTTTATCTAAAACCCTTTTTTATTTCAGTGTGCAAGATTCTCAACTCGACAGGCCTCATTAAATCTTGCTCAGTGAAGTGTGTTTCACCAATTGGTACACGTCCCTCTATTGCGGGTGGACCCAAGATAAATTTTACATCGGTTACACCACAAGTACCTGAAAGTACGTTTATTTTATAGAAATTACGATATCCCTTTTTTGTCACATTTATTTATTTTTGTGATTGATGATATTATTTTATTTACTATTTTTTTCGAAACTTAACCCTGGACCCCGAATAAAGGCCGGCTTCTCAAGAGGAAGCTAGTTGTAAATATGACCATAAAATAAATCTTTTTATCTAGCCGGAGTTTTGATAACGTTATCGCCCGAAGTAGCTATTTTAAAGACAAAGAGCGCAACCATTGCTTTTTTTTCTTCTCCTCCTTTCCTTCTCCTAGTAGAAGTGGTAGTGGTAGTAGTAGTAGTATTAGTAGCAGCAGCAGCGGCAGCAGTAGCAGCAGCAGAGCGGCAGCAGTAGCAGCAGCAGTAGTAGTAGTAGTAGTAGTAGCAGTAGTAGCAGTAGTGGTAGCTGTAGAGGTAGTGGTAATGGTAGTGATAGTGGTAGTGGTACCCTTTCAGTACGCCTTTATCAGCCAATTTATCAGCCCTGTTAGCAGTCAGCGAACTCATACAAAAATGCCCCAATAACTACGCTAATATTTAATTATTGAAGCCTGCTTTCTTATCATCTGAAGATTATATAATATAACTATAGAGATCTCGGAGGGTGTTATCCACCGAGGCCGTACCTCCATCGCATCGATGAGATATAGATGTTAAGTTCCTCTTCGATAGTGCATGTTTATCTGCAAATTTAGGAGATAAAGGGTTGTTCAGTTCTGCAATTATTCTCCAAATAGTAGATCTCTTCCGTCGAGTTATCTTCTTGCTGTTTATGCTTTGTTTTTAGCCAAAAGTTCGCCCATACCATCCTTGTGAAAAGGGCTAAAAAGTTCTGCCATTTTGTATCATTACCAAAACAACTCAACCTCGTCCTCAGCTTTTCTCGGTTAACGGTTCAACAATCTGGCAATTTTGCTGCATGATTGACATCATGAGTATCTTCCAAATTTGGTCAACAGTAGCTGGTTATGATAAATTATGCGTGTGATTTTAGCCAATCAGAACGGAGAAATATTTTGAATGAATAATAATACTTCTTCTTTTGTCTTTTAGTGGGCGTTTTCAGGCTCAATCATCTTCCGGTGTTGTCAGCCCCACGTTCGTGGGGCAGGAACACGTGACGAACCCCTAAGAACGTCTGCGGGGGAGGCTATGAAAAATGAGGCTCTGTTTGGGGACGGAAAGGACTAATGTTCCTTTACCTTATCCCAATAGTCTGCCACCTAGTTGCCTGAGTACCATCATAGTAATTAAAGTGGAATGGTTGGGGAAACCCTTTGTTATAGGTTTTTCTTAGCTTTTTTGGCCCTGACCGTGCACAACGTTCAATAGCATTCCTATCATTTTGAAGTTATTGACCAATAGAAACATTGCATTAAATTATTCAGTTATAATTTGTGAACAGGAAACAAAGGATTGTGCGCAGTCAGGGAGCTTCCAACATAACCTACAGCACCATTGTTTTCAACATTGATGTTTGCCGGGTTTCCTAACCAGTCTCCTCTACTAACTATGGTACCATCGAGTAAGTCCTCGGTGCAGTCCTCTATGACTGGTGTAGTTACAATTGAATTCCGACCCCGCTCGCCATAGAGCCTCCAGTAGCTCAGTGGTTAGAGCATTTGAACTAGAACTGGGAGGGTCGTGAGTCCGATTCTCACCTGGTATCAGAATTCTCTTTCTTCCACATTAATAATAAAATTAATGGCGCACACCCATCGACCAAAAGAGGTTAAAGAGTCTTCTCAAGATTAACAAAGGTGACTCGCCGAGAACATTTCCCTTTGCGTTGCACCTCCGTGCAAGAGTTAACACTTGAAGCAGTTTTACTCAGATTCCCTACTATAACCGGCTAAGCAAAGTCAAACTCATCCTGCCCCATTGTCAAATATTCTCAAATACCCTGAGTATACCCGGTGGGAGTACCCTGGAAAAGTATTGTTAAAGTTTAAAATTGACTGGCCTTTTTTTCAGCGTCTAACATCAAGTGTCCGGTTTGCACCAATATTCCGCACATGGGAGCACGCAAATGTGACAGCTACTACGTTGAAAGCAAAACATGCCCCATTGGACTGGATAAATGCATGACAGTGGAGGGGCAGATTAAGGATGTGGTTGGTGCTGGTGCAATCTTCCCGACAAAATTTGAAATAAAAAACTGTTCCAACAGCCTCTTATGTGAACCAGGCAGTGATTATAACAGTAAGAATAGCCAAACTGTATAAGCTTTAAATTAAAATAGCTATAATGGAGATCAAAAGTGTTGAATGATATAAAAACAAGGCAACTCCACACCTCCCCTCCCCCCCACCACCACCACCCCAAATAAGGTTGAAATGTGAACAAAATGGGGGGAAATGAGCCTTTTTTGCTAGGGGGTAGGGGGATGAAGGGGTAAGCCATAAGATGATAAAAATATAACTTATAAGGTGCGCCAGTGGGCGAGGGTAGTTTTTCCAGGAAAATAACTTACTGTAGAGAAATTAAACTCTCACGCTAAATTTCTATGGCCGCTAAGTCTTATGTCCATATTCAATAAATGTTTTCTTAAACCTTCCCGCCCCCTTTTTATAAGGAGAGTTTACTTCTTAAATGGACGATCCCATTAAACATTCCATCCTTGAATGTTTTAGAGTAAAACATTGTTAAACACTGTAATTTGCAGAGTGAATTCTTGTTTTTAAAAAGAAACTTTTTTCTTTCAGTCTGCAAGATTCTCAACTCGACAGGCCTCGTTAAATCCTGCTCAGTGAAGTGTGTGTCACCGACTGTTACAAGCCCCTCTGGTGTAGGTGGACCCAAGATAAATTCTACATGGATATCAGTTGAACCACAAGTACCTGAAAGTAGGTTTAATTTATAGAAATTACGATAATCCTTCCTTTTATTATCACATTTATTTCTTTATTTAATTGATATTATTTTATTTACTATTTTTTGTTACAAAACTTAACGCTGGGCCGGGCCGAATAAAGGCTGGCTTTTCAAGAGGAAGCTAATTGTAAACATGACGCTCAAATAAATCTTTTCTATATATATAGACAGTCGACTCCCGATAACTCGAACTTTCAGAGAAACAGAAAAAAAAATTGAGTTATCGAGAATTCGAGGCAAATAACCAAAAATAAGGGGGGGAAATCACCTTAAATTGTGATGGTGACTTTAAGCAAGGCGCGCAGCTAACATTGGAGATGGGGACCTTGCCACTTCATTTTAAGGCCGGCAAGAGATACACTGTTTTTGAAAAAGGATTTAAACATTTTAGGGAAGGGAGAGAAGGGCCGGGCCTTCGGAGGGGAGGGTCCATAGTAATTTTTTTACAAATTGGGAAGGGTCAAACCAGTTTTATTTTCAACCTTTTTGGCAAGGAAAAACTGCTCCATGTCGCTTCTATTTTGCCAGTCAAGATTAATCTAAATTATTTACAGGTGTCGAAAAATTTATATATCAAAAAAATATCTTCTCCCAACTAACATAATTGTCTCTCTCGACCCGTGCCCGCTTTCGCCCATATTTTGATGTTTCCGCGCGGGGTCGGGTATAAAATCAGTCTCCGATGAGGATTCTTGACTTAAGCTACTCGGGCGTGAACCGACAACTCGATCTACTACATCACTTTGCGAGTCAGTGTCGACCTCAGAAAGTGATGAGGTCACTGGTTGCCTCACATTTGTTAGCGGGGGCTGCCGAGGTTGTTGACGCTCCATTGAATTGTACAGCAAGCTGCCAATGTGCGCTTTGATCATTGCGACCTTTTCAGCTTTCTTCCCTTTGAAGGTGATCTTGTGATGGGAAAAGTACAAGGATAGCTCGTCCACCCTCAAGGACGACAGCTTATCGGAGTTGTACAGTCCAGTCCAGTCAATGTCATTGTACTACCGGTTTAGCCGTTCCATTCGCTCCCTTTCAGTCTCCTCTTTCTTTTTCTCCCTGCGCATTTTTATCTGGGCAAGGTGCTAAACATATTCTGCCACTAGCTTTTCGGGGACAATGTATTTATCTCAAAACTTTCTAATAGCCTCACTGTCTCCACTGACTACTTCACTTTCTTCAAACAATCGTTTAATCTGTGCTCGAGGCTGGAAGTCGTCTGGCTCACGGCCATTGGTCGGGTTTGCACTCCAACATTGCAAAATTGCGTTTCCCTCTTTCTATTCCTCGTACATCCTTGCCCATTTTCAAGTTTTCACCGTACAATAACGCGCCACGCAATTAACTACATATACTTTGTGCGCAGATCAACGCTGTTATATGATGTAATTAACGTGATGTGATTATACAAGGATGGACACTATATTTAAAAATCAACTGGATTGCCAAAAAAGTAAAGAATACACGGTTTCTTTAAAAAAAAATTAAATGATTTAATTGCAGCACAGTGTTTTTCTTTTCCTGACATTTTAGGCACTCGAAAGAGGGTTCGAGTTAGAAATGTAGAAATGGTCTGACGGGAAACAAAAATTACTTCGAGTTAGCTAGGGTTCGAGTCATCGGGGGTTGACTGTGTATTTACGCTAAATATTGTAGAGTACCAATGGTAAGATACACAGCTGTCAATAATAAAGAATAAAAACCTCCTCATAAAATAGAGCGTCCAAAAAAAAAAAAAAGAAAAAGGTGGTGGTGGTGGTGGTGGTGGTAGTAGTAGTAGTCTTCCAGTACGCCTTTATCAGCCGATTTATCAGCCCTGTTAGCAGTCAGCGAACTCATACAAAAATGATCCAATAACTACGCTAATATTTAATTATTGAATTCGGTTTTCTTATCATCTGAAGATTATGTCATGTAATTATGGAGATCTCGGAGGGTGTTATCCACCGAGGCCGTACCTCCATTGATGTTAAGCTACTCATCGATAGTTCATGTTAAGGGAAGTTTAGGAGATAAAGGGTTGTTCAGTTCTGCAAATTTCTCCAAATAGAATGTGTGGTTCGTCGAGTTGTCGTCTTGCTGTTTATCCTCTGTTTTTAGCCAACAGTTCGCCCATACCTTCCTTGTGAAAAGGGCTAAAAGTTCCGCCATTCCTATCACTACCAAAACAACTCAACCTCGTCCCCAGCTTTTCTCGGTTAACAGTTCAACAATCTGGCAATTTTTGCTGCACGATTGACATCCTCAGTTTCTTCTAAATTTGGTCAACAGTAGCTGGTTATGATGAATTGTGCGAGTGATTTTAGCCAATCAGAAGGGAAAAATATTTTGAATGAATAATAATACTTCTTCTTTTGTCTTTTAGCAGGCGTTTTCAAGCTCAATCATCTTCCCGTGTGTTCAGGAACTAAGGGTGACCAATTTGGTAAGTTCTACGTTCCATCAAGTGGCAAGTTAGCATCCCTAAGGTTGGTTCACCTGTACGGTTACGTGTCTTGTCATCAGCGTTCATACGGCCGCTGGTCTTACTGGGGATGTGCTAGCTCAAAAATAAACATTGTCGTTACCAACTCGACCAATCACGTGATTTTGCCTGCTGAACAGTTTATTTCTGGTGAGACAAAGTGGTCGAAAATTCCCGGATATACCTCACTTTCCCCTCAGATTTTGCTATCGGTTTTCTCCGATCCTGTTGAGATAACCGCTGGTGAAGAGTTACGCCTGTGGTATGGCGAAGATTTGGCGAATAAAGACGAAGATGATAACGAAGGGAAGGTCTGTGCCGATGTTTACGGTCTGTTTGTCTGAACTAGGTTGGCGTCGAATATCTCAGGGGAAAATGTAATTTAGCTACTGCTGGCGGTGATTTTTTATTAGAGTAAAATGTTTTATCAATATTCACAGGAAAGTTTTATACGTAAGGGGTTCAGCAGAGTAAGACGAATCCAGTTTTTTTATATCTAAAATAAGCAAGCGTTTTGTCTAGGTGTTTTATGTAAGGGCTTGAAATAATTCGGCTATTACCGAGGTAAACATGATTTTTTTTCTTCTTGGTTAAAAAAGGCCATTAAATAAAGGATTCATTATGGGAAATAGAAAGTTGTCTTCAGTCGGTGTGTGACTGCATCAGCGCACATTTTCAGGTTAGTGACCTGGTAATCACTGATTGTGGATCCGCTGTAACAGTGATTTGGGTATCTCTGGGTCTTGAATATCCCCTTAACTATGTCACCAGTAATTTGGGTGCGAGGATACCCAAATTATTGTGACCGCGCACACGACGAGGGCAGGCGTTGTTACCAGTTTCCCGTTCAGAAAATGCTCTTGAAATAAGCTATAAGGAAAGTGTGGAGAAGAGTAAAAGACATGAAAATAGAGTGAATGACCAAGAAGACGATTAGTGTCTCTTCCAAGTACGTTTGATTTTTGTGGGGAGGAGTTGGTCATTTTTGGTAAACGTCCGATTCAGAAAAATATAGTACCTTCAAATATATTTTTCTCTTGGGTTATGAGAAGCTTTACATTGAGCGTGGATCAATAAGTTTGACTATCATCACAATTTCTGAAAAAAAAAATGGACCAATGGGTGAGATATTAACGCATTCTGTCTTTCTTACAATGAAATCTCGGCCGCCACAGCTCTCCTTACCGACACTCAACTTTTTCAACAACTCTAGCAGTAAAACACGATATGCTGTTAGAAAAAGGACTACCTCAGTATGGAAACCAATGACGCTTCCCCAGTTATATAGCGAAACGAATTCAGCAGACTTCGTGAAATTCTAAGAAGAGGATAAAAAATGTCCGCCAAACACGAGACACACGTCAACGCTCGGCCAAGCAAATGAGGCCTGGGCACTGCTCAAAATCAAATACCCAGAATGTCCTACTGGACGTCACTGGCCCGAGGTTAACATCCCCCCCCCTCCTCCCCTTTCTCCAAACAAGGTTGAATCCTCCCCCACTGGAACAATAGCCAATCGATTTAATGAATGCTAAGGTACTGTTGATCTGATGGCAGGCCTTATTAATTAAACATACATGTACAGCAAATCTCGTTTCATTGTTTAGAGAGTCATTTTAATCTGAACAAAATTCTGCAAAGATTATTCACAAACTTTGACAGATAGAGGATCTATGGTATATAGATATATGATTTTTAGATGATATTATATGGCCGCGCGGAGAGGAAAAATATTTCACTAGTGAGCGTAGTAAATGAGTGGAATATTTTTCAACAAACAAAAGAAATTTCGTACTTTCTAGCGGCAATAAAATGATCTCCCAAGAGTTCGTCCCTCTTACTAATTCCATGTCTAAAAGTTGTTTATTCCTCTATCGAGTGCATGTATTCAGACGTTTAGCAACCAGCATGTCCTCTTTGTCTTTTTATCACAGTCTGTAATTAAGACGTTTCGGTATGGAGTGGGATAAGTCATGTAGCGTGTAGAGCCCCAGGTGATCCATTTTGAGCTTTTCTATGACCTGGTACGTATGCAGTAGCCACTTGGACCCCCAAACAATTTAGATTAGGCGGCAGAAAATATATGCATTGGGAATCCAACCCATTGGTTGTTGATTGATACACAATTTCTGACCATTAACCTACAATGGAATTGTTGTTGCAGCCAATGACAGGGCTTTTCAAGGTCGCCACACGTTCTCCAGGTTTACTTCTGGTGCATAGATGCTTGAGATAAACAAACATGCTAGGTGGATATAAATTAAAATAAGAATGGCCGATCATAATGAGGTATCGGTTTTTCGTCAGTCTTTGACACGGTATTTCGGTATTTGCCAATTTTTCTTACGGTATTGGGGTATTGGATACCCCTAAATGTCACCCTCAAAAATATGTGGAGGGAAAATATACTCGATCACGAGTACCTTTGGCGCGAAAGTACACAGATTGAACCGGTTCGAGTCAAAAGATGGCACAACAGGCATGAAATATTAAATTACATTGATCAGTTGCTGCTTCAAACCCAATTTATAAAGCAAAACGGGACACGGATAGCCCATGCAAGCAAGAAATCGTAAGCTTGCTCACCTATTAGGTCCTCATGCAGCACCAACTTAACAAACGCAATCAATTGTCCACATTACCAACAGTTGCACACTGGATCACCCGAAATCGAACCACGAGGAGAGACTACAAGACCGTTATGTCCTTGCTCAAATATGGGGTTTTAGTTACATCCAAATATGGGCAGAAAAGAGGGTTGGAGGAATTTACCAATACATTTCGCGTCATTATGAATCTCCTGCAGAGTCAGCTTGGCTTCTTAGCTCGGCTGCCTCGTTGGCAACAAACACCGATGAAAAACTAAACGTTTCCCTCGACAAGCACCTCCTGGAATGGAAATTGCAGGGGGTGGAAAGTCTAAAGGAAAAGTGCCCTCCGTCGGGGGAGGGGCGGGTATGGATATTTTTTGGAACTACACAAAACGAGCACCCTTAAATGCAGACAATGGACACTTATTTCTTGCCTGATGCAGACACTTCATTATTAACTGTGTTCTGTTAGCTTATACATAGATGAGCGATTTCAGGATTTAAGTCGCGGAGAATGACAGCTTTGGTAAGGTTAGAAATGTGTAATTTGACGATGCTTATGTCCTGTTTTATGACTGTAGTATTTTGTTCAAATGATAGGCGTTTTTACTTTGATAACACGGATACCCCGTTAATACGTAGTCCGTTGCCTTTATACGGAGTAGCTTTTCGTCTGAAATATGGCTGAAAGAGCCCCTATTGAATGAAGTAAACATAAAAACTAATAAGCCAAATAAAAGAAAAGAGTAAGACTAGACCCGAGGGAATGGCCGATGAGGGATTTACAATATTTTGACTACATATCTTCTACCCAATTTAATGTCTACCGTTTTCGAGGAGTATCACTAACAAATTCACTTATTTTGATTCTCGTCTTGTCTTCTTTACTTAATTTTGATGTTTTCTCTTTGACTAAAAATAAAAACGCTTTTTGTTTTAGTATTTTATTTTGATTTTTCAGCTCATGCTTTGGTAAAAAATTGTTGGTACAAAAAATGTAAACGGGAAACACATATAGAATAAAGGATTCTCAATACAATATAACTATATTCTACCCGCTCGAAAGAAAAAAAAAGCATTAGCTGGAAAATAAAAATGAAACACTTAAACCAAGAATATTTTTCTTTTTGATCAAAGACAATACAGTCATCAAAGTAAAAGAAAACAAGACATGAATCAAAATAAGTGAATTTTATAACCGATACTCCTCGAACACGGTATTGCGGTAGACATCAAATCGGCAAGTTTTTTATTTAGAAGATATTTAATTTTTGGTCGATTTTTTCTTGACTTCAGTGGCGGCTTGCTCAGCGATATTTCAGACAAAAAGGATCGTATAAAGGCAACGGTCTACTTTCTTAAAATCTTCAGAAGTCGTTAATTAGTGTGAATTCGTCAATCTGACTCCATCCATTTTCCAGTTACTGATAAAACATATTTTTTATTGATTCATCTGTGATATTTTAGGGTATGTTTTGATTTTGTAATTTTTTTGCCTAATTTTTGTGTTTGAGGTGAGGGGAAGGGGGGGTTGGGAGTATTCCGGGGTGTCCTGACGGTGTTCCGGGGGTGTTCGTGGGGTGTTCCGGGCCTCTTCCTGGATTTACGGACACCCTCCAAATACTTATGATTGTATCTCATTGCCTTTCATATATTGCCCAGGCGGGGAAACATTTATTATAACTAGTAATAATTGCAAATTAAGGAAGTGCGTTCGATGGGGGGGGGGTGGTGGCTAGTGAGTGGTAGTGGGAAGGGGGTGCAAAACCTGATGGGCTTGTAATATTGAAAAATCAAAATCAAACGCTTTTATCAATACAAATATCAGCAGCTGTCGTGTTATCAGAGTTTATTGTTTATCCTCCCACTCAACAATTCGTTACTATTTCATTTTTCCTCAAAGATGAAAGAGCGTACTGTACTTTTTACATTTACTTGCCTAAACCTGTACATAAAGTACATGTAAGTAACAGCAGGTCAAACACTGACTATGATCCTCAGGATATTCTTTTGCACTGTAGGATGGTCAATAAAATTGGCTAAAAATTGAGATACAGAAAAAATTAAAGTTATCTCAAAAGTTTAAGCGTCGCGTATCACTTTAAACCCTTGTTGCGTGACACTAGGCTGACACGACTCACCTACTTAGCACCGTTTTCAAAATACAACGCACCCGGGATCAGTGAGATAAAAAGGTCAAAGTTTCACTGTTCAACATCTTGTATATTTTTCAAAGATGGTGACAAACAGAAGCAAATACAACGCTGTAAATAGCTTTTAAAAGCAGAAAGATATATTTTGTAATAGAATTAAATCTGGTCGATCTAAGCTGATCTTGCTTGTATTCATAAAAACAAATACAGTGTGCAGAACACACTGCTAACAAAACATCTACATATCCGATTATCTTAGAATGGAAATTTTCCTATATAACTAAAACTTAACTGAAAACTGCGAGAAAAGCTATAAACAAAGCTGTAGTAAAGAGAAAATCGCCAATGTTTCATCTGCGAACGAGTGTCACAAAATAGATACCAGTTCCCGAGCGAGAAAAACTGAACACAAGAGATCGAGGCAAAATGTGCCAGGCCGGTCCAAGATGGCGTCCAAACCGTGAAATCGCATGGCATACGGAACGGTTACTACATCATGAACGGTACACGAATAGTAAGCGTTCTCCTTCGTCGAACGCAATTATCATTCACTCTACCATTATTAATATGTCATTTGACAATTGTATTTATTTTTACAAAATATCACCAATTTACGAAACAATTCTCTAACACGTGATTTTATTTTCGTATCAAACACATTGAATTTGTTGATTCATCTCATTTGTCAGCAATTGAAGTTTCCTGTTCGTGGACGTCAAGATTAAAAACCATTATCAAGGCCTTTTCTCAGTAGCTACACCCCGTACAACACATGTGACATGAATACAT